TTGTGCCACGTGTTCATGAGGTAACCGATCGGTGCTAATGAGCGTCGAATGGTTCCGAGCTCGTGGCTCGAATGCTGCCGAAGTCTGCACTTGGCTGGTTTCCAACCACTCATTAGCGCTGTTCCTCACCTGTTCGCTGCCATCGGACCGGTGATGTGCTGGGGCGTCATCGACTTTCTCTTCTGCCGTCAAGCGTGCCAACTCCGCTTCCAGCTTGGCAAGGTGCATCCGGATTTCGGCCTTCGCCTGTGCTGCTGCCAGCTCCAGTTGCTCCCGTCGCGCGTAATACGCTGCCGAATATTTCTTTGTGCGCGGTGTCTCCTCTGTTGCCACGTTAGGTGAACCCTTCAGCGTATCCATCGTATCCTCGCGAAAATATACAGTACGCTCCACGAGAATGTTACCACTGATCCAGGATCCGGCTCGAAGGACCAAAATTGTAGAGGATGGCGGCGATGAGGAGAGAAATAAAAGGCAGGATTTGAATAGGCGCGCACTGTTCGCAGTCCGACGGCTGAATTTCGACTGGTCTGTGTGCCGACTACCTTGCAACATCTTTATTTATTTTATTTAAAAGTTACCAATAGTTTTTACATCTACCTTAGTAATAATCAGTAGTTTACAGATAATAAAATGGTACGTTATGGTACGAATACAGAGTACAAATATATTAAGTACGCATAGAAATATAATAAAATAACACAAAGTCGATAAACTTAAATAATTAACAAATTATCGCAGAAGGCTTTGACATTCTGTCGTCAACACTTAGTTTAAAAATTAATCGTAACAGGAAACAAATTCTCATCATCAGCTCACTATGCGTCCCCACCGAGGGGCTCGGAGCCTACCCTAAGTTGAGGGTGATTAGCCCATAGTCAACCACGCTGGCCAAGTGCGGGTTGGTTGACTTCACACGTATCTTTGAATTTCTTCTCAGATATGTGCAGGTGGCATCACGATGTTTTCCTTCACCGTAAGAACGTCGGATAAATGTACATATGTAAATCGAAAAACGAAAAACACATTGGTACATGGCGGGATACGAACCCAGGACCTGCAGATTGCAAGTCAAGTGCGTGACCACTGAGCCACCGACGATCAAAACGAAACAAATTCTACAAAATTCGAAATAAGGAACTTCGTTTAGAATGTAACACGTTTAGTTAATTGACACCGGTTTTAATTTTTATTTATATTAAAATCATTAACACGCTATAAAGTCATTACAATCTGTTGGAATTTCAAATCGAGGTAGTTGTAATTATAAAATTAACTAGACCGGTAATACTAATGTTTCAACAAATGAGTTATCACAATAATAATAATAACTACTGAAATTTTCTTTATCATAATTAAGTTATCCCAATATTCCTATTAACTAACGAGCGTCGGTGGCTCAGTGGTCAAGCACTTGACTTGCAATCTGCAGGTCCTGGGTTCGAATCCCGCCATGTACCAATGTGTTTTTCGGTTTCCGATTTACATATGTACATTTATCCGACGTTCTTACGGTGAAGGAAAAAATCGTGGTGCAACCTGCACATATCTGAGAAGGAGTTCAAAGATATGTTTGAAGTCAACCAACCCGCACTTGGCCAGCGTGGTTGACTATGGTCTAATCACCCTTAACTTAGGGTAGGCTCCGAGCCCCTCGGTGGGGACGTATAGTGAGCTGATGATGATGAATATTCCTATTAAAAATTACTTATTAATAAATCTCCGATTTTATACTCTATTAGTTAATGTTAATAGTCTTTCAAGATTTATAGAAGCCTTAAATAAATATTAATGTTAACTTACAGCTAAGTTTTTACTAGTCCAGTTCGTACCAATTTCATCTATTTCCGCCACCCACATAAAAGATCTGGTAACCCCGTTTACAATATGTCAAGTAAAATGGATTTATTGCAAGTAGGCCAGGTCCGGGGCAACGAGAGCGGCGGCAACGAGTTAAGATGCGGTTGGCACATCGACGCAACGTCTACCGGATTTAGTGGTTGTGACATCCGCAAAGAGAATGCTCAGTACCTTCTTAGTAGTTTTATAAGTGAGTCACTTTTTACCACTCCCTTGTATTGACAGCACGAAGTACGTCTAGATGTCACAAATTAAAATAATTATAAAAATATGTTAATATCACGGATAATTGTATGTTTTGTGGAGCTAAGCGAAAAAAATGTTAAGTCGTTTTAAACCACCACAAACAAATTAAATTACGATCAACTTTTATAAGGATACTAAAACAATACTAAAACAAAAAAAAACATGGCATTTATTGAAAAATGTTGTTTGATTTTTTGTATTCTTGCTTCACAATTTTATGAATTTGATAATACACATAACAGAGTATAAGGAAAATATACTATTAATATTTAAATTAATTTATGAAAAAAAAATCTAACGAACATTTTAAGGTAACTAAATCAAAAATTATGTGTATTATTTCATTTTGAATTACAAATCATACGGATTATAACGACTACGATCGTTTTCTAATAATGGTTATAAAAAAGCCAATTAAAAAAACAAAGTTGCACGCGCCAACGCGGATGCAGGGCCAACGAACGGTGACAGGTGAGCCGCGAACTACTCGCTCCTGACTTTTACTATGACATTTGGAAAACGCGAATTTAATAAGAAACTTACGATTAATTTAATAGGGAGTAAAGCAATAATTATGGTTTATTTTAAATTAAAAGAATTAAATATCTAAATGTAAGCTGTATAATTGGTAATTAAATCTTAATTCAAAACAAAATCACTCATGTGTCGCAACGGTTTGTTTACCATATGTCTAAGCTTGGTTCGTGACGTTTTGGATATGTCAAAATCGACCAGCTCTTACTGCTAGAGCCATCTTAGAGAGAGCCATCCTAGAGAACTTAGTTGCGCACCTAATATTTGCTAACAAAAGAACGATAAACAATAACACAGAGTGGTCAAGACTTAATTTCACTCGAGTCAACGACCACACTGCTATTAGCATGTCTATAGAAAAAAATAAGCTTTTTTGATCGATATTACGGTCTTACGGGGAAAGCATTTGTTCATTGCAACAGAGTATGTGCGGACCGCATTATGATTCTACAAGGATAGACGCACATTCCTGGAGGTCGTTACAACGGACTCAGCGTCATTCATTAGCCCGAGCGCATTCCCTCACATACTAATCCCTCTTCCTGTCACAGACTAAACATATTTCTCTGATGATCATACTGCCGCTCGAGTCGTTTTGTGTTTTTTTAGCAACACCTTAATTTACATGTAAAGGATTTATTTAATAACCACTTAAAATAACACTGCTAGTTAATGCAATAACAAACGTTGCATGTATGCAAATGCATTAATAAATACTTAGAATTAAAAAAAAACTTATGAATTTACATTATCATTGAACAAATAACGGAAACTATTCGTACTCTTATCTAAATTGTGAATATCATCTGTTCATATTTAGTAATTCAGTATTTGTATTGACAAGTATTAACTAATGACAGCTTCAATATTTGGCGCCAAAATCGTTTTACGTCACAGCCGTACCGATTGGCAATGGTCCGAATCGTAGAAGCGACGGAATCCAGAGTATTAGCTAAATATTTGGTGATCACACAACCTTTGTTGTTATTTCTCACGTTTGTTTCTTCTTTATTTATTTCTGTAAGTTAAAAACTGGTAACACTGACGTTTTTTTTTCTAAATTAATAGCAGAATTATCTAATAACATTACTGTCAACATTATTGGTAACAAATAAGTAACAATTTCTTTGAAGTTGAGTGACGATGTAGGTTCATTATAGAAATCATCGATGTCGCTGCATCATTCATCAAGTACCGTAAGTCATTTGCTTCATTGGATAAGAGCGATTGACCTACATTTCTTACTCGCTTTGGTCTGTTGGAAAAGCAGCTGTTACTCGCCATGTGGTTGTAAACCGGCCCTGACATACTTCTTTAACACACCGTTCTCTAAGACCTAATTACGTAGAATAGTAGGATTGTAGATTAATGATAGGAAGCGGAGGGAACAAGGAAACTAAGCTGACCGGTCGTTAACGGAACTAGTGCGTTTAAATTACCAATCCGATTCGTAAGCGTTATCAGAGGCAATAACTTTTGTTTGAACGATTACGCGTCGAACCACGATGAAAATATGCCTTAGTCACGAGATCATTAAATTTTTTATTACACCAAAATCCAATGTTTTGTTAAATTGAAATAAACACTAAATTTTACCATTAACGAACCAGAAACGTAAAATGTAGAACTTTAAAGCTCGAGCTTTAGGCAAAAGCATTTTGATATCTGTCAGAAATTAAAAATTGTAACAAGATAGGAATTACTGTTAGTACAATTTTACGTTGCGATTTTATACAGTTTTTATGCATCCAAAGTATAAATTATAATTTTTGTTGTTAAAAAGAAAATGTAGGTAATTTACAACAAATATTTATGACTCATAGTAGATAGCGACCGTAGTACATGCAATTCTTTCACCCTATTCTACATAGCGATACAATTATGAATAGAAAAACACACATTTTTCTGCCAACTTCGGCAAGAACATTTCGGTGTTGCCATTACAGACTAAAAAAATATAATTTATTAGCTACTAAACAATATAAAAACATACCTGTGTAAACTGTGAAGAGATTTTGGTATGGTCTTCTTGATAAATTTTGCGGGTTTTCCGCCGTTCTGTCATCAATGTGATGAGCCGATCCAAAGCCCGTGACTCCAGAGCTTCAGCATTGGCCTTGATAAGGCGGCTGGTGTTTTCCCACTCCTCCGTCATGGTTCGCCAAGCGGACGCTATTAGAGACCCTGAAATAATACATTCATGTTAACGTAGTATTCCACTACTGAAACATCCATTCTGGTACATATTGTTGTCTCTATTTTATTAAAAAGATTGAAAGAGATGACTATATTTTTCACACAGTGGTTTTTATACAGTAAAAACCCACAATTGGTGCAAGAATTCAAGTATAAAAAAACAAAAACGAAATATTTACACTACTAAATACATGTTTTTTTAGGTATTCCGTACAAACATTCAAAAGTAATATGTAAAATAAACAAAATAAATAATTATACTTTACTATTCCGATAGTTTAAAAATTGCAAAACATCATTAATGTTACTACGGTTAGGTTTACTAAACTAACGTAACGATAGCGTTTACCTATTTAGTAAAAGCGGTTTTCCCGGTCGAGACAAACTTATTCATCCTGTGACTTATTCAAATCCTACTATAAGCTTGCTCATTGACTGTGTTTATACTATTGTAGCAGCATTATACATAAGAGTATATTTATATAGTATATGTTATTGTATATACACATATCTTGTAACTTATACCCACGTCTTGTTGTCTGTAACTTCTACACATCTTTAATCCTGATGAAATTCATTTTTTTTTATATATTCAAGGTGATCGTAAATTTTTGCATAAAATGATTCATACTAAAAAGCTAAACATAAATTGCTAAAAGTAGGACTAGATTTAATTTTATTTTTTATCTTTTGAGACAGAGGCGAAAACGTAACATGATAAACAGTAGTGGAAAACGAACTTGTGTTGAAAGTTCGAATCCTATGCGCAATTGACATTCACTATATCTCATCAGTTTCGTCTCTATACACGTTGGATGGTAACATACTCTGTTTACAATCATAGTATGTTAAAAAAAACTATTTATTTTTACTTATTTTAGTGGCAAAATATCGGACTAAACGATACTAAGCTTATTCATATTAAAACACAAAAACAAAAAACATGTTCTATGAAACTTTAGCAACTCGGAGGTTTTCTTTGTTCCAGAAAGTCTTTGTTCCATTTCGTCCTGCGCATTTAAAATTAACCGTTATGAGGGTACATTGGTAACTTACCAGGTATAAAATAATACGTACTTTCACACGCTTTTAAATATCAAGGATATTTAAGTGTTTGTTTCTATTTAGTTGTAGTAATTACTTACCATTGAGGTCCTCGCACTTGTCCATTTTTTGGCCTTGAGCTGCAGCGGCCGAGAGGGCGAGGGCGTATTCGCGGTCGCTCTTCATCTTGGCCTGAAGACTCCTCTTCATGGACTCCATAAGACGCAGTTCGGCGTCCTGCCGCGCGAGCAGCGCCTCGTGCGCTGCCCGCCCCGCCCCGCTGGATGCATAACCCATCATAAATAACAAACCACTTTACACTCGACCCACACACATCGCAACGTAAACACAACTTGATTCACATCACTCCCCGTTATCACTGCACCGGGTTTTACGTCACCTTGACGACGACAAAATTCAATTTATTGCTAACTAGAAACCAAAACGGAACCCCGATCCGATCGTTTGTTAAATGGGAGCTTTTAGCTTTTTTATTCTTTGCGCCCAGAAAGCCGACGATATGACTAAATAAAAACGCTGCTCGACAAAAAACTGTTCGATATTCAATGTTTATAAGGTGCGAATGCGCCGGCGATACGTCCGCTCGTAAGGCGCCCGCGACGCAAATGCCATGCTGCCGTCCGCCGCCGCCCCGGGACCGCACAACGGCAAGTCTCGTCTTGGCGTTCGTATAGGCCCAGTCACCCGAAGCAATCGAAGATTTGGAGACCGAAGAGCCTCGGAATATAGAACGAGTTTCTTTAGTTTTTTTTTAGAATCCGCCTTCCTTAACATTATGCTTTTAATTTTATTACGTGAGCGAGATCGCACCAAGACAAGCTTAAACCTGCACCATTTTAAACACGTGTAACAACTCAATTTGCCTAAACCTACCTAACTGCACAATGTGCAAATATTTTCTAGTAATATGGTATGGTACTATAAAGTAAAAAGTAAATATGTTACCACAATATTTGACTTAAAATTCTTTAAGTACATCTTTTCTTATAAGTTTACACATTCTAGCATTCTCTTCTTTCGGATAAACCTTAAATATGCAAATAGTAGACGATTCAGCGCGGATTGAATCGCGTTCGACAGCTAGTAAACGTATATAGAAAACAGCATAATAGGTACATATTAGTATCACCGTTTTTCCTGTAGATTTAAAACTACCTATGCATGCGACATTTTTATGATTTAACTATAATAGTTGCTCGCGATTTCCACGGCGCGAAATTAACATAGCTTTAGTTACTACATCATACCTTCAGCTATCGTCCTGTAATAGTCATAGAGACACCAAATTTTCTGTATAGTTTTAGTATCGATACCAACGAAGTATTTAAACTTAGGCCAAGAACAAGTTTATCAACAAAGTAACAGCACTTTAAATTACACCGCAAATATTAAATGAATAGTTTCTTACTGTACTAATTCCAAAAAGACTTTAGAAAAAGGAAGATGCAAAAGACTACCGGTACTTATTCAAGTACATACACATGGAAAGAAATGTGATGGTTTGCATTTGTATGTAATTTGTTTTACTATAATAGCAATTGAGAGGCCAGGATAACAATTTAAGACGCTTTACCCCATTCACATTTATTCTGAGTGCTAGATCTATTTATCTAACTTATCATGGAAACTGTTCATTGTGAGGTTAAGCAGGAGGCAACCTTATGATAAAAGGGTCCAAGACGAAAAGATGACAAAGATGCATTTGAGGCTGAAAACCATGAATATACTACCTTGGATACGCAAAAGAGACCGATTTATTTGAGATTTTATATTATCGCCATCTATGTCGCCGAAAGACTATTCCGTTTCTTTTTCAATATGACCACTTACCTTTTATTTATTTACTAAACAATATTGCGTTAAGAAGTGTTTCCACTGTCATAATACATGTGACATGTATTAAAACAACATTGTCATCCCTATCATTTTATTTGAATAAACGGGGAATACAATACTGTTCTGTACTGTGACGACAGTTAGATGATGGTAAGATACATTTAATTTCAGCATTTAATCAACTTATAATAAATAAACTTGTTTCAAAATAAATTAACTTAGTTTTTAAACAAAGAGTATAAACGCTTTAACATTTGTGCATCGTGAAATCACAATTTGATTATTATTTTAAGTATCCATGTTATTTCATAAATATTTATATCTTACAGTAGGCTTCTTTTTACTCAATTTGAAGACATATATTGAAATTAAGCAGATTTTCGTGGAAGTTTCTTAAATAATTAATCATTAAATCACTAAAAGTTATATGGCATCCCTGGTGCATGTTTTTTCAAACTCTGGCAACAATGCTGCAGAAATACCTTTTTTCGATCAGTGGCAACCCAGGCCTCAGCCTTGTAATATGGCCGCTACAGGTTAGTTCTATTAATTTTGTCATGTGTAAAACCCTCAGATTTTACTTAATTTTTAGTTTAATTACATGCTTAGAATGTTATATTTAGAGTCAATATGGTTAGTTTACTTTACAGTAAATTGAAAACCTATAATTTCTTAAGAAATAATGCTAACGTGTCAACTTTTCTCCTCTGCGGACGTTTGGATTTACCGCGTGGCCACCTTTATAACTTTTATTTCAAATGACATGAAATTCACCAAAATTTCCCTTTTGGCAGTAATCTGTAACCTGCATGTGTTAATGTACTGTAAAATTACAAAAGTTGTCCTTATATTATGTCCACGGATAACCACTTTCCAAAATTGTCTTAGGTCGATTACTATGCGTCATCGCTATGTGTCCTTTGATGTACTCGCCATTTTTATTTGCTCTTTATTTGAGTACATACTTGGTGCTTATGCATTTCCACTTTAAATAATTACAGGCAAGAAATCAAAAAAAGCAAAATGGGTCAAAGCCAACATGGGTGTCATCATTGCGGAGCCGACGACCATAAGCACCACAAACACTTGGGCAGACCCTGCAGATGAGGAAAGTGAGTAGCTGTTTGTTTATATTTGTGCCGTTAGTTGTGAGAACACCGCCCTATGATGATGTAAGGGGTAATGGCAAGTCAATGTTAATCTCGTACTTGGGGCTTACAAACGGGTGCTCGTCACTCAATCCGCCTCGGGAAGGTCTGAGTAAAGGCTCTTGTGCTCTAACACATTCTAGCCGGATGCTTCCCTCACAGGGAAGGCGAGGGTACCAGAAATCTAGAGCAATGCTTAGCTTATGATGTCAACACGGGGGTGTTTGATGGAGGCATAGGCATTGTATCTATTGAAACCTCTTGTAGCCAGCAATTTGAGTTCAATCTACGAGATGACCAAGGTCATAACTCAATTCAGACTAGTCTTTCATTGGCTTGCTCCCAAATCTAACTGAGGGCTAAACTACATTGATTACCTAATTTTATGAAGATATTTTCTACAATCATATAGAGTGGTAGTGGTAATAAGTACATCAGAGTAATTTACGTGTACTGAAAATTGTTTGTTTCAAAGTTGTCAAGGACAAAAATATTTCATAATCAATACAAATTATGGTGATAGAGCTTTAATTTATATTTTAATGTGGGATGAAATTTGTTATGTCAGATGATGATTTGCATAATCATGATAAAATATGATAAGTAACACAATGAAAGAACCTATTATCATATACAGTAACTTACGTATGTAAAACAAAATTAAGTTTTATTTGATCTATATCATTAATTGAATAAACTTTAATCACTTGCATTATTTGGTGCATATCTTCATTAAATTCTAAAATAACCAAGTGGATAGTAATTATTAACAATAACAACTTATTAAATAAGAAACATTTTATACTTTATTAGATTTTATACATTAGTTTTGTAGTTTAGTATTACATATTCAGAAGAAATAGCTAGTTAAAGATTCAATCAGCTTAAGTCTACACCATATTCCACCTACTTAACTTGTAAAGTCTTAAAAATATGTCAAAATCATGATGGCATTGTGTTAAAGTTTGAAATGATCTATTTTTAGTCAAGACAAACATATCTGAATATATTGTAGTGCAAATCTTTTATTATTTCATTGAATTATATCCATTTTATAACTATATTTATTTGAAAATTACATTTTACTAATACAGTAACATTTTGTTAGCCGAAAGCTACAGCTACAGTTCACGTTCGCGGGCGCCCGTGGTGTTGCCGTCAGCATCGCGTGCAGCCCGCGGTGGCATGGCTGTAGACGAAGAGAGCATACCAAGACGACCACCATACATTGCACACGTCTCCAACCTACCTTATGATGTAGAGGAGAGTGCTATAGCTGACTTGTTCGAAGGCCTTAAGGTATGAACCTTTTAATCATGTTTATATTACTATGAGTTTACACCCCACCTATTTCATTGAGCGTACGGATTATAAATTACATAACAATTTTGAAAATACCATACAGTGAAAAACATGGAAATAAAAGCTTACATATTGTTACAGGCCAGTTGTGAACTAATAAAGACAATATCAAATCAGCCATTTTAGTCCTTTTCTTCCCTAAGTAATCAAACATAATTGTAAATATTACCTAATTGAAGTATCTGTATTGATAATAATTAATTTATTGCCTCTTGTAGATTTATATGTTGAGCAGGGAAATACCAATCATAAAGTTAAATAAATTCTAATTTGTTATAGATCACTAATCTGAGACTACCTAGAGAGGGTGGTCGGCTAAAAGGCTATGGCTATGTGGATTTTGAAGACAGAGAGAGTCTTGTTAGCGCAATGAATATTGAAGATCTGGTAAGTAATAAAAAAAAATGATTTTATTAAACTTCATTCCTTCCTTCTTTTTTGACATTTTAACATATTTGGTGCATTAATAGAGGCATAGAATATGTTAAAAGGCAAATGTTATTATAGAATAAACTTTTGTGAATCAGTTTGTTTTCAGCATTTTTAATAGAAATGTAGTCACAAAGGTGATGATGATGTAATTGTCATTGTTCAGCAATGATGAATAGATATGAATATTTTACATTCATTTCTATTTGTAAATATTTCTCTTTTATGTTTTTCCAAGCTATTATATGTTTGACATTGATTTGATATAAAAATTAATTAAAGATTTAGAAAGTCTACTTTGTAGGGTAGGATTGTTGTTTAAACTAGCAAACACATTTTGCATGGCAATTGATCATTTTACAAGTATCATTATGATCTTAGAGGGAAAGTTGATGGCAATGAATGTATGAAGCAATACAGTATGGCATTTAAATTGTTCCGTGCCGTTTATTTTTGATTGTGGTGACACATAAATTGTTGAAATTATGTACTTACATTAATGGTAACTTATATAATATGTAAGTATTTATTACACAGACAGTTGGTGGAAGAAGAATAAGAATAGAAGTTTCCAACAATGACAATGATCGTCGGATGGGAAGAAGTGGAAGATCTGACCGCGACAGGTTTGTTGTCTACTAATTTTAGACTATAGATTACAATGTGAATAGTAATAAATTTTGCCATACTCGGTGATAGTATAGCTTTCCAACTGTGAAAGCTTTTTTTTGTTAATTGGTTTAGTAGTTTTGGGGCAAACAATGAGATCTTTCCTCTTTATTATATTAGTATCAATTAGATACCTCATAGGACAATTTTTTTTATAATTACTCAATAACTCACCAAAAATTAAGATGTTACTTAAGTTAGTAAAGGTTAAAATTTCTATGAGAAAGATCATTGTAATTGCTGAAAAGTCTTAGATTTTTCTTTGTATTATGAAAATCGCTATCAATAGGTTTGTGTTGTTATGCAGGGACTACGACCCGGAACGCACAATGGGAGACTGGCGGTCGGGGCCGCGAGCTCAGCCCGAGCCCCAGGCCCGCGCACGCCCCATGGAGCGCGACAGGGAGAGAGACCGCGAAAGAGACTGTTAGTACCACAGATAATAAATATACGCTCAGTACCATAGATTAAAAGAATAAGTAAAAATATATAATAGTCTATGTTTTAATTACATTGTTTTGTTTGTAATTTTACAATCTGTTGTTACTATGATGATATTAAGTAAAAGATGGAGTGAGCTAAAATGTCGCACTTGGGACACACATACTGAGTATTGAGTTCATTGACTAAATACATATTTATTTAAATATATTTATGTACTATAAAAGTAGTATATTAAATCATTTACTGTATTGTATTGCATAAGTATATAAACATTTTAATATGTTGATAAATCTGTATTAATATATTAAAGTCAATGGTCCAAATTACTCATTTTGTCTCGGGAAGGTCTGAGTAAAGGTCGCTAGTTGTTTTTCCTACTCTTCTAGAAGGGAGCATTGCCAATAGCAATGACAGAGGCACCAGAGACATAAGCCTAGGGCTAGTTTAGGACTCCTAGGATGAGACGTAACCCTAAGTGCTGTTGAAAGTTCCTCTGTGACCGGCTGTTTTAGATCGATTTGTGACACAGCAATGCTGTAACTCGATTCAGACTAGTCTTTAGCTCGCTCCTACTTTTACTTACTGAGTAACTATTAACTCATTCCATGACTCACTCATTTGCTTTGAAGTGGCATTGAATGTTTTACTTAACATGCTGGTATATTTGCAGCAAGTGTCGACAACAAGCCGGGCGGTTGGCGTGATGGCGAGAGACAGGCACCCGCTGAACCTGCAAGGACTTTGTACGGCGGTCGGGATTCTTACGGCCGCGATCGTTATGGCGAGGGGTATGTCATTAAATTTCTATTCTATGTTTGTTATAATACAATATCTTTTAGAATATATTGATGAAGAGATAATTAACTATTTCTTTGCGAAAATGAGAGTTTAATTTTATTTACTGGGTAGTAGAAAGCTAACACTAATAAATATGTATACAGTTTGCATTATTCCAGTCTATAATAGTAACCAAATAAAGCACTAGATTACAACAGGAAAAATGTTAATTTACACAGGAATGGAATATCAGTTCAATGAAAAGTTTGTACAATAACAAATTATGTTTTCAGTGGTCGCGATCGCGCGGGCGGCGGCGGTTTCGGTGCTCGGGAGGGAGGCTTCCGATCCGATAGAGAAGGATACGGGTAAGATACTATAATATTTAAGAGGAAGGTTATAAAAATTCTAGTTGTGTTATTGTTCAAGCTTATGAAATATTTACTTCCTCAAAGATAAAATAATCAAGTTTATATTAAATGTTGTACAGAAGTCGTGAAAGCAGAGGATTCGGTGGAAGAGGATTTGGCGACCGCGATCGGGATGCACTTCCTAGAGAAGGTAAATTAATGATAATCAAGAAAACAATTATAATAACAAAATCTGAATAATTTCAAGATTTTGGATTAATTTGGACGAAAGTCACCTGAACTTATAAATTTACTAGTTAATGCCTGTGCCTTTATTATTTTAAAAATAACTTAAAACATAGCCTATGTGTTGTTCTACCAGACTATATTCTACATCTATGCCAAATTTCATAGAAAATCAAGCAGCTCGTTTTGGAGATACCTTCAAACGAACATTTGCATTAATTAGACTTTTTTGTGACTTAAAATTTACGATTTGTAGAAAGCAAACCCCGTGAGCGTCCAAAGTTGAACCTGCTGCCGCGGACAGTACCGATAGAGTCTGAGGTGCCCACCAAGCCGGCGGACGGCGCGCTGGACGACAAACCGGACAAACCCAAGTCCGTGCCAGCAGAGAAGGTGTTTGGAGCTGCCAAGCCTGTGGATACTGCTGCTAAGTAAGAATATTTTTTAACAATTTTTTTTAGTCTGTGCAACTTTAACTTTCAGTGCCATAGCACTGGCACATGTAAAATGTATCATACATTTTACAATTTAAAAAAAAAATAACTTTTTGATCTTAGCTGTTTTTTTTATTTCAAAATTGAGTGTAAAATTCTTGGTTTAACAAAAAATTTGAAAGCCTTACAACAGTCATAAGAATTACTGTAGTTTAAACATCTATGTAGTAAGTTTAAAGTTATCATTTTACATTATTAAATCGAAGTAGACATTTTTTACTGTTTTTTTAATGTTGAATTATTTGTCGTTTGCACATTTAAGAATAATATCGATATTTACGTCGAGATTATTTTTGTAGTGTTAACTCCAATGTGCTAGATTGAATTGGTTACTAAGACACCTCATCAAGCTATATGCATGGTGTGGTCGCTATATACCGACAACTGTTCATAAATATAAAGAAAATTATTCATGATATATAAATAATACAATTAATAGATGAATATTTGTCAACTAGAGAGCGTGAGATTGAAGAACGTCTTCGTAAACAAGAGGAGGAAGCAAGACGTGCTACTGAAGAAAAGGAACGTTGGGGAAGAAGGGTATGTTTGTATTACTGCTCATTTTTGTTCGTTACATCGTCCGGGCGGAATTTAAAAAAGCAAAAAAGGGGTCTCCTGGTTTTGAGCTACATCGCCACCAATTTTCAGCCAAATCGGTTCAGCCGTTCTGGAGTTACATAGCGTAACTGACACGACTTTCTCACTGTGAAGAAAGTATATGACGTAGTAATTTAAAAAGTTTTAGATTATATTATATGTACTGTGTTTTTTTTGTAATATAACAATTTTTTTTTTTAGAATGACCATTCCGGTGACCGGCGAGGCGGCGGCAGACGAGGTGAGTTTGATTGCACAATTTTAACAACAAACAACTCATTTAAGGGAAAATTTATTATAATAACAAGTGTTTCATATAGAAATTAAAGTTATAAAAATAAAAAAAACTTGTCTATTACATTGATTATTGTTTTAATTAAAACCTGTTTGTAATTGCAGAGGACCGCGGAAGAGACTCGCGCAGCTACAACAGGGATAGACGCGACTATTCTAAAGACGACAGAGAGCGTCGCGACTACTCCAAGGACGATAGAGAGAGACGCGATTATTCCAAGGAAGGCCGAGACAGGCGCGACTACTCCAAGGACAACAAGGAGCGCCGGGACTCAAGGGAGAGGCGCGACTACTCGAAAGAGGACCGTGACCGTTACGACAGGGACCGGGAAAGAGACACACGTGATCACAGGGATGACAACCGGGACTACAACGACCGCGATCGGCGCGACTACAGCCGCGACAGAGACAAGCGAGACTACTCTGGAGAGCGGGACGACCGTCCCAGGAACGATAGAGGCAGGGAGAGTTCGCCAGAAGCTCGCAAGGACAGAGACAACGAGGACCGCGAGCGCGAACAGAATGGCCGCGACAGACAGAGCCGCTCACGCGACAGGCACGAGGACAAAGAGGAAAAACCATTGCCCAAGCTGAAGGAACAGGAGAAACCGGTGAGTGCCTTTTATTAGTTTATCGATGATGAATTTGATCATCCGTTCTTTAACGCGTTCAGACGAGAAGACGTAAAATTCTTTGTGGCATCAAACTAACTCCAAGATTAATGTTTATTTCTTTATGTTTTCAGAACTTTGTGGCTTCAAATAAATTTAGCTACCTTGAGGAGGCGGAGGACGTCGCATTGGAATAACACACGGCGTTGTTCCGCGCCGGCGCGCGATCCGCTGTGATTCAGTGTAAAGTGTAAATTAACGAGTATCGCGCTATATAGTGTCACGGAACTTGCACACGGACAAGCCGACACTGTGCTATAGGACCCGGTTTATTAATTTTAGTGCGGTGTGATAACGTGTATATTGTCGGGTGTATATGTTGCCACCGCCTCGAGCCCGCCCCAGTCTTTACGCTGGCTTCTCGCAGAGTGAACTTTGTTACAGTTTGATGCAAATAGCCTCATAGATTACAACTCATTTGAATTTGATAAAATATATGTGAATAATGACAAGATTTTAAATATTATCGACAAACAAGACTGTAAAATATAATTATAGCTTTTGGTCTCAATGATGTGATGAAATAAGCAATAGAAAGTTTACTCGGAAAGTTGTGTAAAGGCTGGGGCTCTGTTTGTGGACTTGAACGGTGTAAATTTTTCTATGGGTTTGTTAATGTCCTGTGAACGGCTAACAGAATATGTGGTCGTTATATAAATGCTGATAATTCCTATGAATGTTCTCATACAGGTTTTTGGTAATGGTGCTGTGTCCTTCCGTCTGTTGTATGTACCGCTCACAACCTTAAGGTACGAATAGACTAGGACAGAATTTGCGATATTAATGTCTGTACTATTTACTATTGTACAGAAACAGGAGACACTTGTGTTCATACAAATACACTCCAATGTGTACGATGTTAGTGTCTTAGTCTGATTCTACCATTACTTGTGCTATTTGTAGACTGCCTCATTGGACTTGATACAGCTAAATTACAATGCCATTATGCAACAATAGGAAAACCATTTTTTTTTTATTTTAGTATATGTCTATTATAAAGTATTTAGTCGATTTAGATTATTATTTAGAATTTTAATTGTATTATTTATGTTTATATTCAAAAATTGTTAAACACCATCTGTTTATGAAATTTATTTTCTATGATTGTAATAATACTGAGCGGAAATAGAGGCACCTAAGCGTTACAGGTAGAGGCCTGGTCACAATAATTTTTTTGATTTAATAATGTCAATCATGACATTTTTTTTTCTTTGTATTATCTCAAAAATTTTTGTTTGGTACATTTGTCTCATTATGAGTTTTAAAATAAATTACTCTTTTTACAGCCAAATTTGAATTTATTTTATCCTTTCTACCTTTAGGTTATGTGGTCCAGTTGTGTCCACAAGATGAATGGAATTTGTTCGATATTTATAATAAGAATTTATAGTAGAGGATGAATGTTTGTGTGGGAATATGTAACGTTTATGTGAATGTTTTGTAAGTTTAAGTTAAATAATTAGCATAAATTATTAAAATGCTACCAATTGGTCCTTCGAGACAGATCTGAAACAGCAACTCTTGAATACACGTCAGTAGGACACTCGACTGTTAAGGCTTTTTGGCTCTGCTACCACGGTAAAATAAGTTTTTAAATGAGACTAATTTATTTTCTTTACGTCTGTTTTTGACTTTAGCAAGAATATTTGCAAGAACTGAAATGTCAATTCTGAAGTTAATTGCGATCTTGTAATAGTGACTCCATTCTAATTTAGTTGACTAATTTAAACAGATTAGTCAAGTCTTTTTGAAGTTCCGTTACTGTAATAACAAAAATAAAACAGCATTTACAACAATTTCAAATCGTTTATTTTGATTACAACATAAAGATAAAAGCTATACCAATCAAATATCATGCATTATTTAGGAAAAAAAATAACCAATGCATAGAATTAAAAAATATTAAGTAAAATTGATTTTAGTTTTATAGTGTAAGTAAATTTGATTTTTACATCAAATGTATTCTTAACATTAATTTCGAGATAGTCTCGAAAAACTAACAAATTCATATAACAAGGGTCAACACTTAAGTGTTAAAAATATAATAATATTAAGTGTTGATATTTTTTTTTAATTTTTCATATTCAATCTTATATAATTAAAAATCTTAAGAAGTACATTTTCTTGTTTTTCTAGTCTTGTGGTAGACTACGATAATATTAAAGACATCGCCATGTCTTACGTGAAGACGTTTGTCTCGTCTGAAGACTCGTCTTTTTGTCATATCCGGGTAGAGGTTATTATGTTAAGCAACGAAGCAAACAAAAAGATACGTCACATGTAGATTTTAAATCTACAACCCATATTCACAGAAATTACGGAATTACCGCTAAATATTAAAGCATCCGAAACGCGTCAGGCATCATCTACGAATATAGATTTATACAAATAAATTGCATCTAATCTCATCAGGCCGAAGCGTCCGTCAGCTTTAACTGTTCAGCCGGTTCTGGGATACGGCCAACATGAAGTCGGCGCGGATCTTCTTCGTCATTTCCTCCAGGATCTCAGCTCTGACCCTTAATTTCTTATTTTTCTCCTCCAATTCAATCGCCAGCTGCTCCATTTGTAATTCCTTCAATTTCCTATTCATTCTCGATCTTTTGGATGCTTCATTATTTTTGTCTCTGAGCTCTCTGTAGCGCAGCTCATGCGTGGAGGCGGAAGAGGAGGTCTCGTCCACGCTGCACACGGAGGAGACTGCGCTCTCCCTGCGTTTTGGCGGACGGCCACGCCTTGTCGGCTTGAGATGCTGCGAGCCCTCCAGCGCGCGGATCATGTCCTTGATAGGTATGCTGGGTTTCCTCTTCCTGTACCGGCGCGGCGAGTGCTCCGTGTATGGCACATACGTCCTGTCTGAATCCTCACTGTCGCGACGTTTCTTACTCGAGTAGGATTTGCCGTCTTCGTTGTCGGATTCCACCTCATTGTGAGATTCAGACTTGGGTGTGATGGGCTCGTAGTCCATCGGCGGCGATGTTTCCGCCTTAGTGAAGCTGTCCGTGGACGCGTCCAGCGTCGGCCAATCCAGTGCTACCGGCGTCTGTAACAAATTACGACTGTCCGTAAGTTTCTTGAACGATTAATAAAAAACCTGTAACTTTAATCCTACAAATTTGAACTTTTTATATCAGTAATGTTACCGTCCGTCGCCTCCGGAATTACCCCGTCGTTCTTCGATAATTTGATTTCTTTTCGGTAGAAGAATGAAAGTTCACCGATTGTTTAGTAAATGCTTACCGGGCTGGGAAGTGTACATTTCTCAGTCTCCAGCTGTTCGACGTAGTTTAGCACCTCTGGCGTGCTGATGATGTCATCGTCGTTGGGCCAGGCCGGGGCGCGCGCCGCCACGTCCACGGAGAGGCCGCGGGCGCGCCCCGGCCCGGCCGCCCCGTCGACTTCGTCCCGGTGCTCGTTTAAGATAAACTCTGATATTACTACATTATTACTCTCCACTTCCCGCGGTATTACCGAAACCATTTTCATATCCAGTGAGTCCTCTTCGATAAAGGGCAATGTGTTGTGTATGTTGGTGTTGTTTTTGTTGTGTTCTGTGTCGTGTGGTTGCCAGCCGAGCGGCGCCGGGATCTCCCATGGCGCCATACCGGCGGCTCCCCTCGACGCTAAATCTTCTATCACCACAGGCAAGCTGCTAATATCTAGGAACTGCTCGGAGAAGGGAATCTTGTTCTCGTGCTCGAGCGGTCGGTACTTAGTGTAGAAGTCGACCGAGCCGTCCGCGCTCGGGGAGAGCGGGTCGACTGTGGGCTTGTAGAAGCTTGCCTGGGCCGAAGAGTTAACGTCGAAAACGTCCCAGCCTTGCGGCGAGAACGGTGTGTGCAGTGTGTCGGTGTTGTGTGCCCTGTCTTCAGTATAAATCGGGATGTCTGCGAAAGGAGACACGTAGGATAATTACCAATATTTGGCCAGTAAAATCTCTATGCAGATAAAGGTACGACTACTCACCAATGGACTGTGCCGCTGCGGCCGCGGCGGGTGCGGCGCACCACTGAGCCAAATCTTCGAAGAACTCGTAGTCCGATTCGTGAGTCATTGTGCTCGGGAATTCGGGCTCCGTTTTGAGAAATACCTGTAATCCACAAAATGTATGTTAATAAGGTCCCTCTGTACCGACGGCAAGAACTAAAAGATAAACTTAAATTAATAATAACGTAATGTAATTATATTTATGTACTCACGACAGCGGGCCCTCGCTTACCTCGGAATAGCTGGAGCTGGCGGCAGGCGACGGCGTCGCGACTGTGTGTCTGTCTGTAACCACTCCGGTCGTGCCGTTCACCTGTTGACTCTTTTCTGCCTTTAAAAGATCTATTTCTACCACTTTCAAAATACTTTGAGTCTTGTGACTCGTTTGCGAAAAAACCATATCTTTTGGTGTCTGAGTTGAACTGATTGATTCCGATATCGTCGCTCCGACTCGGACAGGTGATCTTTTGAGCAACCATTTTGTATAGAACTACAAACAAAAATGATACGACGTAACATAATGTGCATATTTTTATGAAGCAAGGAGAGGAGAGATGAGTCGAGGCCGGGGTTATGCGGCGCGGGAGAGGGCGGGGGCGAGATGACGGTAGAGAAACATAATGTAATGAACGATAATGATATAATGATCGTGTCGTGACGTAAACAGGCATAGCAACGATTGGGCGCTGAGGCGCGGGTCGCGGACGTTTCCTAAATGTCACAAGATAGAGAACCTTGAGTCGAGTTTATAATTATATGTAAGATGTAAATGTATTCAAATAAAATAGATATGTAGATTATCTTTTATATGACATTAAAAGGAATACTGATTGCATATATATAAAGATATGTAGAAGGAATATTGAAATATATATTGAACAGAACCAAAATACAAATATTTTTCAAATACAAATATATATTAAAAGTGAATTGTGAACTTTATAAGGGAAGTGATGCAGCACAATGTTTGTGTCTATTTCGTGCTTTTATGGATTTTGACAATTTTTTGACATAAAGCACTAATAAAAGTTCGCTCATTTTATTAGAAATCTGTCTGAATCTATGTGTTATTTTCTTTTATTGTGACACATAGATTATCTGTTACAGAGGTTGCAAACTTGTCATCACCTGCCCACTTCAGTTCACTTTTTTGGTCCGACATAAAAATGTCCATCACGATCTTTTACCCTTCATACTCTTTTTTTATTAAGGTAAAAAGACTTAACTAAATTTATAATTATTAACTATATCTATTTATTTTAATTATCAGCTAACTAACCTAATTAAAGTAATTACTACCTATTTACTAAAATATATATTGTTAGTAAGATTTACACAAGGACTTAGAGGATATGTTAGTAACTTATTGCCAAAAAGGTAAATAAATGTTAGGCCAAATCTGTGAAATGTAAGGAAAATAGATGTTGTTAAGTTACTAATACTATTTTGTTTTGTTGTGTTTTGTGCCATTTGCCATATTAGTATTGTAAAGTCGATTGTGTATTTAAGTCTCAAAGTCGCATCCATCTTGTTTCAAAACGTTTATCGAAAGATATTTTACGAAACAATATAATTTATTGTAACGTAAATTTGAACCGTAAATTGAACGGATAATGTAAGTATGAGAATTTTGAATTTCGAGATGGTATTTATTAATTAATGTCCAAAACCACTGTTTACGACATGTTTTTACAATACGATGCGAAATGTTGAACGATTATGAACTCAATAATATAGAGAAATATCAAAAAGACAAAAACTACGTTTCATAATTAAATGCACAAATAATAATAAAAAAAAATTAACATCTTTATAATTTATATTTTAACTCCAGAAGTTTTTATTACGTTTGAAAAAAGATCATTTTTGCAATGATCTAGATTTTTATATAAAACAAAATACTTATATTTTTAATGTTCTATCTTCGAGACCTGAAACAGAGAATTGGGTTAAAGAAAGAGGTCCGCCGTAGCGGGGCAACTTACTTTGTTGAACTCTTCTTGAGTCCCTAATGAAATCTTAGTCCTTTAGGCTCCTTGCCAAGCAATTGTCACCGTTGTAGGCCTGTAACAAACAGAGAACATTTTTAATTTATATAAAAACAGCTAAAACACTCACGTGTGTTCGTCCGGTTGCGACATCGAATATTTTCGAGCACATCGAGGGCACTTCACCAGGGTGTGTGGGACCATGTAAGTTTAAGATAATAATACTACATTGGTAAAAGACGTTCAAGGATGACTCGCAACTAGAGCATTTATAATGTAAAGCTACAGGTGTGCCGAGAATGCGCCATATGGAAATTAGTCTGCCTAAACCTGTTCAGAGTTATGGAGTGTGTTATTACCGTGTTTCCACTGTCACATAACTCATACAAAACATATCGTCATCTCTCTCATTCCTATTGAAAAAAAAGAGAATGTTTCACGGTGTTTGGGCAGTGAAAACCCAGTTATATTACTACGGCGCGGCGGGGGAACGGATATTGCAGTGGCTAAAATCGTCTGATCGTTTTGCTCGCGGGAAAAACCCGGCTTCTGCGAAGTGGTACACAAAGTATGTATTTAACGAGTTTACTACATTGTTATTTGAGAATAAATGAAAATGTCATCATTTAATATTTTTCATATTAACACATTTGACAAACCAAACAAAGAAAACTATCAATAAAAAGAAATATTACGTAAAAAACAATCTTTGTTTTTTACATGCAATTTAATACCAGTATTATTACAGTCGTATTTCAATGAAAAGCTGAAACTCATCAAGATTTCTCTCTGCCTTTGTCTCATAAAAGTAATTCATTCATTCCAAAATTCTTATAAAAATACTTAAGTCAAATTAAAGCCAAAAGGTTGTTTATCTTTATTATTATATTATTCTTTATTCAGTGATAATTTCATACCCACGTATTTTTATCAATAAATATGTATGTAGTCGTCAATTGGCCTAATCACTTTCTGTTATCTGTGGATATAGGCGACCTCAAGGACCGAACATTAATGTTCTGTCGATTACGTGGGTACTTTTATACAATATCGTACATTCGTCGAATGATTCATAAAGCTAATCAGAATATAGATACGTATAGTAATACAAACAAGGGTGAAAATACTACAAAATTATCTAATCCGATATCAGTTAATAGAGATATTGAATAAAAGATTTTCAGGCTATTTCCACAATATTCTAATGATATCGAAAGATTTTTTTTATACGATTAGGTGACAAAAGAACAAGCGACCAACTGAATTCGCCGAAATAGCGAACAGGCTACTGGTCATAGACATCAGATTTTACTATCATTAGTAAAAATAGTTTTTTTTTTATATAATGAATTTTGTGAGTTATTAGTCTATTTAGGTAGAAATTAACTGTTAAAATAAATGAAATCATGATAATTTATGCGTAAAAAAAAGAAAGCATGAACACGACAGGTTGTAACTTGTACGGCTTTTAAAGTTTCGAGCATGTGTCGTCATATCGAATAACCTCTGCGTAATTTACACTTTTTAGCGAAGTCACACGATTTGTTAAATAGAGAAACGTAATTTTCACAAACTATTTTAACCCAGAATCACACACCGAACACTTCGTTGAAATGTAACAAAAATAACTCACCTCAAACCAAGGGAATTGTTGATTAGCTCCAGGAGTTTCTAGAAAAGTCACTCTTTAAAATCAATGAAAAAGAGATGACTTTGAGATTGTGTAGAACACGTTATAAAAGGTAAGTAAGCAATTTACCAAATTTATTTTATTTTAAATTACAATTTATGAAAACTTTTGGCATGCGCGCACTCTATTGCGATTCAGAAAACGTTGTGCAACATTCGCGCCGAAAGCCCCTCAATACAGTTTTCCTCAATCCCCACCATGGCGTAGCGTTCTAAAAATATCTCGGCCGCGCTCCCATTGGCTGTTTCAAATGACGTCAACTTAAACAGCCAATGGGACTACTTTATTGGTAAGAGTCACGAGATCTTCGTGTTTCGCAGTGGGTAAAAACTTTTTACTATAGAACTATAGTTAGATAGCTCTATATTATGATTATTAGTCGCGAAATACCAAGCAGGGTTTTACCATGTTCCTGCCGATGTCGATTTAATTATGCCCATCGTATACTACAAGTTAATTTAGAAACATGTATCACCTAAAACAATTATTCATATAAAATAACTTTTTCTGATTAAATAACTATTTTTATAAAATTTCGATTTCCCGCTTTCTGAAGACGTGTATAGCCATAAACGTGGTTATTTGAACGGGTGACCATGTTATTTAAGGATGGCATTCCTTACCGTTAATTACTATTCAGGTCAGTCTTACTTCCTTATGAACGGAAAATCCGTTGAGAAAGATTGTGACTTTCTCTTTTTAACTCGTTTAAACAGATTCAACGTAAATTTATTGGTGTTTATAAAAAAAGCTCCGTTGAAAGCACTTCGTTTTGTGTAAAATGAAAAACTTCAATACATACATACAATCATACCTTAATTTTAACTTTCTGTGATTTTTACTTCGTTAATCAGCAAAGTGGAAAACCATACAGTTTAGTTAATATACAATTTGTTAAATAACTAATGCTAAGCATAGAACAGTGATTCTCAAAGTTAGACACGTGGTTCCGCGGAAGACCGGAAAAGGATGTATGATGCCGTTAAATGAACTTGGACACAAATTGAAGGATGTATGTTGCAGCTGGAGTCTTATCGAAAACCAGACCAGCAAAAGATCAAAAAAGGGTCTAGGAGAAAAAGTTTGGGAATCTCTGGCATTAAATATAAACACGAACAAAGCGACAATAGCAACAATTCCGACGCCATTTTGTATGACTGCAATAATTGTGTTTGCGTGCATAATTACCTGTTATTAACCAGCACATTTGTATTTATCAGGATATTATGCCATGGAAAAATCCTCTACTCGTTTCTATCGTATTGATTTTGAGATAAAATAACACACATCCTCGAAATGATAACGTTACTTTGTTATGCATGTGAAAATACTTCCTAAGAAAAAACATAAATATATAATCTTTAATATTTCTACTATCAGCATCTTAACATTTATAGTTATAGTCTAAACTTTACTACATAAAGATATACTAGCTGTTGCCCGCGACTCCGTCCCCTCGTAATTAACAAATAAACTTGAGTAGTAGCCTATGAGTTCTTCCAGACTATGTTCTACATCTGTGCCAAATGTCATCAAGATCCCTTGAGCCGTTCCTGAAATACCTTGTAACAAACATCCATCCAAACTTTGGCATTTACTTTCATAATAGATATAATATTACGTAAGCAAAAGTTAATATTATCTATAATATTTACATATGTAATGCTTTTAGAGTTCTGTGGTCATACCTTTTTAGGTAGGCAACGCCAACGCGTATCCTCCTAATTGGTCAAATAAGTTGTATGCCTGATTTTAATTAATAAAAATCTCGCAAAATATCAATGAATATTATAAATGCTAATGTTTTGATGTATGTAAAGATGTTAATTTGAAGTAAATCTTTATCCGTGGACTTTGAGAATATTGCCCAAACGACCGCCACGTGTCACAAAAGTGAATGATGCAATTCAATGTAAATAGCAACTCAAATCTATGAACTTGACCCTTTATGATTGTGTGGCCGTCGAATGTTCATTCTTAGATTATATAGTAAAATGCCTACTTAGTAAGTTGCTATTTGTTAACTTTCCTACTACCAAATTTCCTATACCTATAAACGTAGTTTTTCCCTTTTTCTTCAAAGAGTAATGTCAAAAATTTTTACGTGGTTTGGTAATGTGTCTGATCAAATCGTTATAATATTCAAAGAATTCTCTATGATATGTATACATATTTAAAACGTTTTAAAACGAGGTCATTAAAAACAAACCAGTCGTCATTTAGTAGATACTGATTCTCGGAAACAACTATTTTATTCGAAGTTAATGTTTTTAGTATCAGGGTCGTATAATTGTATACGATTCAACCAAATTAATAGAATAAAATAAACCTGTTTGTTTTTGTTTTGTCATCGTCAAAATGTTAGGCAAAACACTGATTTAATTATCAAATCTTCCGTCCTTAGATATTGGAATTATAGTTTTTTTTAAGATATTACGATTTCAATCAGTTACGGAGGCGATGTAATTTTTTATCTTTATTTGATTAATCATAGGCTAAATAACCCTTCCGCTTAATTATCGATATTAGTTTGTTCACTATATGCAGGAAAATTGGTTTATGAATGAACGAGTCGCAGGAAAACCACAATATTATGCTACCTTTAAAATAAGTGCTATAAATATATTTTTGATCCCAAATCATTGTAGGTATTAGCAAGTATGTATGTCTTTGGTGACTCAATCGAATCAATAATTCTTTTCTTTTTGTATGTTCAAAGATACAGTTTTTAATTTTGCGTACAGAAAGACATATAATTGAACTTTAAAAGTCAAATAACAACGTCATTATCATGTTTCTTTTTAACCTTTTACTATAGTCAGCCGACAGAGTAAGTCTGTAGACAAAAGTTAACGGACTGACTTACTGTCAGACTATAAATTTATTTTATTGCTAGATACATATTATATTTTTAAAACGGAGGTGTGTAAAAATCCTGGAGCTTTGTAAGTGTATATGTGGAGGTTGTGAGTGTTTACGAAGTGAGGGTAGTGAATCTTACTAATACATATTTAAATGCGAATGCGAGATGGATGGGTGGATAGATGGATGTGTGTTTGTTTGAACGTATCTACAGAACGGATCGCGATGAAATTATGTTTTTTTATTTCCCCGCGAAAGTAGTCGCGGGCGATAGCTAGTAAACAATAAAGAAATCATTATTCCACCTGCTAAGGAATGACTATTACGACACTCGTTCAATTATTTTTTTTATACACAATGATTCATTCCTGGCGAATAGTTGAACGACCTCAAACTGAACAGATGATATAAGATGCGTCACTTCAGGAAAAATGTTTTGGTTTTTCAAAGATTATAAACAAATCGGCATTTTTGTAAAACATTGAACCCGTTGTAAAGTTACAATACCGCAGTCAATGTCAGAATAGTGTTGTAAAATTTAATTTAAAGTGCAAAAAAAAATTTAGGCAAAAGCATACTACGGTATCCCCGGAACAATCCTATTAAAATATTAAATCAATTAACGCATTGGTTTAGGAACGCATCGGGGACAAACATAAAAAATTGTAATTAAAATGGGTACAATTTCACAAAGATTCTTTATAAACCTACATAGACATTGTAATATCACAACGAGTGAAGTACGTCATAAAACCTTGACTCCGTTGTACGTTACAAGGTCAAAAGCGGCTTCATTTAATATTTCAATGTTCCATTGTAGAGGAAAGTCGATGCCAGCATGACTTTTTGATTAATAACTTGATCTCCTCAAAACTAAATAACATGTTCTGTTCATTTTTAATAAATTCCTGAGTTATTTAATTTTTTTTTAAAGGATAATAAACTAACCAAGCGGGCGAGTCGGTGCCAGTTAAGATGTTAAAAGATGTATCAGTGCTAATTACGATTTAAAAAGCTGTCTAAAAAGTCAATTCCTATTGATTGCTTACATAGTGGCTTAGATAGTGATAACGACTTTCCTTTTTATAGATATAAATTCCTATACCAATTATGTCTATTTATAAAAATGTACTAGACAAATACATAGACAAAAGGACTTCAAACATTTAATAATTTAAGACGACTTTAATATCACTTTGTTTTAAGTTCTATTTAACTGTAATTATATTACTGTCGTACATTATGTAACCATTTATATTTTAGTATTTATTCATTTGTAGTGTGGAAAATTTTCAATAAACAAAACAGAGAACGCATCTCATTATTCATTAATGTATTAGAAACTACGAAGGAAACTAAAGTCTGTATAAAATATAAAAGAAAATATATAAAAATTAATCGTATAACTTATTGACAAATACAACAAGGTCATTAATTTGGTTATACAATTAACATTATTAAAATTAATTAAAGAAAAAATGTTGGGAGACCTAAAATACGTGATACGTCTAGACACACAGCGCAATTCCTCACCCACGGGGCCTCTCGTGCCTGGCGCCGCCAAATCTTGCTGCGTCATTCTGACTACGTGTTACCACTTTACCGGAGATTGGAGAGTGAATGGGTTCATTCAATAACAAACATTTGCATATTTGTTGTTCAGTATTCTCTCTTGAAATATATAATATGAAAAATACTGTTACACATCTAATTAAAAAAGAAAACTTTCACTATCATTTTTGAACTCTATCCATCCATCTTTTTGAGTTTATTAGATAAATGCAAAAATAAAAATCTTTGCTCTTTACAACATTAGTATTTTTTGAGAATCTAGTTTTCTTTTACTCAAACAAAACCCTTTATATTAATAGTTATTTCGATAATTTCAAAAAATATTTCATTTCCGATGATAATCGGTCTCGCAGATTCCATAAAAAATTGATAAGGCTTATTATCTCTGTCTACTTCGATTACGATAAAAACGGATATGATTTTATTGGTTTTGGTAGTAAATTTTAAAATTTAATATTTTACATAGCACATTACTATGGGAATTTCTGTTTTGTAAATCATGATATTGTTCTAACGAATATTTGCTAACAAATAGTCATGGGATAAGCGCCTTTAGAACGCATCCTCCCATTTCCTGGCATTCCACTTGGCACGTCCGGAACAAAAGAACTCTTCCGCTCAACGTGCCAAGTAACTTCATGTCAATATTATATAAAAATTATACATTCTTTTTCAATGATACTGCACTGGGTATTTGACATTTACATACATTAACATTATTTAAGTACAAAAATCAAAGCAAAAATTAATTAGATACCGATTGACTAAGCTAGGAAAGAATTTCGTGCTCTGTTTTTGCGCCTGTGAAACAAAATTAGCTAAAGGTCATTGTACTAATTTGGCTATTGGGTTGAACATATTTGTCACAGATTTTACCGTAAATTATAACTATACAGATATTGCGTACTAAAACTACGTAGATATTGTCTACCATATGTGGTATTATTACACAGAGAGTCCATAGTTCAATATTCATAAAAATGTGCATTTTTTTCTCTAATACTTTAAGGCTTTTAGTCGCTTTAAATTTAGTTAAAAAAGTCAAGATTGAAAATGTTACCACCGCCAACGTACCCTATTCCAATAAGATTACGAAAGGTGAATGCTAAAAATTAACAAAATTATGTTAACTATTAATTTTTTTTGTCGTACTAATGGCAAAATAACTTTGGAAATCGATCCAGTAGATTTTGAGGTTAGTTGTTACGAAAATAGAAATCTCTCCTCTTTGTAATATTAAGTATAGATATAGATAAAAAAATCTATAAATACCTTTGGAAGTACCTACATTATAAAAGCAAGTGTATAATTCAAGATTCTCTATGTATCACGATAATATAGCAATCGCACAAAGATAATTGTAAAATGATACCACGCAAAAAATAGATGGCGTTAATGTCAATTGTTAATTAAAATATAGAGCACAAAACAATGTTTCGGTAATCCAACCTAAAGAAGTATGTTATGAGATAAAATTTACACTTAATAACAGTGAAAAGATAATATCACATTTTTTGACTAAAATCATGAAAATTAATTATTTTTTTATTGAATAGAATAGTAATAGTAATAGAATAGTAATAGTAATAGTCTTCCTTCTTAACTATGTAATCCAAGTCAAATTAACTGTTTAATTTAGTTAAAAAAACAAATTTGCGACGACAACGAGTACAAAGTATATGTTTACAGAATGAATTAGCTTTTACACGATGAAACTACTAGTGACGATTGTCGAAATCATGTGACTCTTACGTGAACCGTGATGTTATACATATTTAATCAACTTAATGAATTTTTTTACACATCCTAACCCTTATATCCCAACGGCATATATACATTCAAAGCGTTTATTATTGTTAAAGTTTCAGTAGCAATTATATACGGTACTTATACCTATTACATTTAAATGTTATATATTTTAAATACTTACATTTTGATATGTCTTCTGAAAACTGATGTCTTGAACTTTTTCAACTTATCTTTTCTCACAGAATTCAAGTTCACCCGAAGTGAAACGTTTCTATGTGATATTGGATTTGAGTTTGAATCGTAATGTATTTGTTGATTATTATTTTGGTTAGTGGACGAGAAGATCATGTTAAACTCCTTCCAAATCTTCCACTCTTTTTTTTATCGTTTCTTCTTTTGTTAAATAAGGAACTGGCGGAGGTCTTAACAATGATAAGACCGGTAATAAATAATACAAAACAAAAAACAACCAAATACCGCTGAAATTATGTCTAACAATTGAAAATCAAATATATTATTTTAAAAGAAAACTAGATTTAATTTCTCATAGTTTTCAGTTTTCCAATTTCGTACTTTGTAAAAATGTTTAGCAATAATGTATAATTTTTTTTGTTATTCACAAAACACTCGCGATTTGCACTCAGTGCCAAGTCGCAAACAAATGACAAGAATCAAAATGAAATTGAATCACCAGTTCGGTAAACCGGCAATAGGGGCATGCGTGCAAAAATTGTGTTTACATTTTCCTACACGTCACACACGTTTCGATTCGTAGCATACACGAAAAATATTTCCTAAAAAATTGAGAGTTAATGTACTGAAAAATGTGGGAATTATTGTATGTCTCTAAAACATGACACGCGCGTAGAATTTTAATTTTAAAGTAAACTTTTCAGATAGAAAAGTGGAATGAAAATTTTATTTGTTTGGTCGATTTCTGCGTGAAACGAAATTTCATCGCGAAAAGCATGCAAAATAAGTTATCTCTATTTTCCCCATACATTCATCTCTTTCTAATTTAAGAATGATGCAACTTTAAAGATTGTGACCGTAGACCTTTGAGTACAACGTACAAAACAATTATGTACTCAAAGCCGTAGATGTAGGCCGTAGGTTACCAAGACAGCTTTTCAAAAGTATATATTAATATCAAGACAAGATTAATCTTTTACTTTCTTGATCCCAATTTATGTTTGAATACAATTAATTACAGCTAATTGCAATTCTAATTAAAGACGTGTTGCCTAGCAACAATGTCTTTCCAACTATGTACATATATATCTCATTTCAATCGAAGGTTTATATTATGTAAATAAAGGAACGTTCACACATAAGATCGATTTTTGAATTATATGTTTTCTGATAGAAAAGCATATGATGGGCGGAGCACATGGATTTGGTAGGAGAGGATAGGAAAAGCAAATATCCTTTCTGTAGTTCGTCGCTTCGGTCTATTTTATAAGATCATTCCGTTGAAACGTCTGTGTGTAACTGTAACTTCACAATTTTTATAAAACTATAGGTAGGTACAGCCTGACCAAGAGAACAGAAAACCTCGCCATGTAAAGCTAATGTGGTGAAAAAATGCCTTCTGCTGCCGATAGATGTAAAAGATTGATGATTGGTGATTAAATTTAAAATGACAGATTTTTCTTTGTTCCCTATTACTAGTTTGAATCATCACTACCGCTACACTCAACGCTGAAATGGCGTAAATAAAAAGGGCATAAAATTATGACAGCTCACTAGCGCCATAAACAGAAATTGAAATGAATTCGTAATCTTTTTAATTGCAGAAAAATAATGGTAGACTGATTATAAAATATATTCTTGATTTAAACTAGCTTTGCCCAAAAACACAGTACCTTCGTTGCGCCTTAAGCTTGTTTATACCAATCATATTGAAAACTATTTGATTGTATCAGAGTCTGATAGTAACATCATGTTATGTTGCATTTATTAGTTCATCAGACGTTTTAACGTCGATGTAGAGTGTTGCAATATAAATAGGGAATTGTGGTACCCTTGTACGCTTACTAGGGGTTTTCTATATTCCTGAACAGTAAAGAGTATATAATATATATATATATATATATATACGTATTAGGCATCAAGTGGCTTAATGATATTATCGATTCGATTCGACACATGTTTGTATACTCTTTGGAATCGGGGCTACTGATAGATAGCTGTCAAAATCATAAAAAAATAAAAAGGTACTGTACGCAATTTCTATGATTTTATATTATTATTTAAATAGATTACCTACACAGTGTGCAAATATTACTTTTAACAAATTGTAATTTAAGACGTGAGTGTTATTGAAATTATAAATGTATACTCCGGTGCCATTCGTTTCGTATATAGCTGCAGTTTTGGTCGATATGTGTTTCCTCTTTAATTCGTTTTTAATGTTTCTCAAAACCTATAATACTCTTCCGTATTTATATATATGTAACTTTCAATGTTTACTAATATGAAACAAAATCAGATAATATTTATTTGGAGGATTTTGTCGCCGAATATGACCTTGACTAATTCAACTTCAACTAAAATATTACTTATGTCTTCCAAGGAATTTAAAACGTAGTTAATATTAAATAGCAATAATTACTTAATTTTACATGTCTATTTTTGTTATAATAAGACCAGATTGAATATTAGCTTTGGTATAGGAATATTTGTTAAAAAAAGCGTTTTTGCTATTAACCTTGACACTTATATTGGATTTAATTTGCATTTTATTTTTAATAGCTACACATAGTACACTTATACATAGAACAACTAATACAGTTGTATTTTCTCTTCTCAACTTGTTTACAATTACATTGCTTTGTGTTCGGATTTTTAATTTTTAACAATGGTTTGTATGTAGTAATAAAAAAGACCAATTTACAATACAATAGTCTGTGAACTATACATTCAAGAGTGTTAATTAATTTGTTGTTATGGAGTTATATTCAACTAGCTGTGGCCCGCGACTCTGCCCGCATAGAATGAAAAAAACTTAAATAGTAGCCGATGTGTTCTTCCAGATTATGTTCTATGCATGTGCCAAATTGCATCAAGATCTGTTGAGTCAGTCATCAATAGACCCATCTAAACATTTGTATTTATAATATTAGTAAGATAGTTTTTATTTAATAATTAAATATTTATTCTACAGGATTGGTACTTGATACACAATGCCACTGATTGAGGGTGTGGGAGATGAGGTCGTGCAGTTTGTGATATCAGTGCTATTAATTATAGTGGGTATTCTAGCATGGTGGTCAACCAATGCTCGTCCGAACCGATATAGACCTGTAATGATGATGAGAACTCGTACCAATCAACCTATAGGTGCCATCAGCTTAAGATCAAGTAAGGACTGCAAATAAATATGACTTATTCTTTGTTATGTGACCAATCTGTAAAAACATCAACACATTTTATATATCTGTGTATATTGCTAACATCGGAATGATTATGTAGATAAGTCAGAAGAAAGCAGAGGGGGAACTCTAGGACTCTTTTTAGTCTAGCGTGAATAACATACTACTTATGAATGTGATAACATACAACCTATAACAATTTAAGGGGTGTGTAGGTTTCAATGTATGTAAATTGCTTCAACGATGGTATAGAATTTGAATCTTACTCATTATAATTTATTTTACATCACTTAGGAATTATGGTTTCGATTTTCTCGAATTTATTAAAAAAAAAATTCTTTTTTATTATAGTCTCTAGTCTAATTTAAAAATAAAATAAAATCGTTTTAAAATGGAGTTAATAGATGGCGTCATGTCTTCGTCGGTCGGGATTTTTTTTTTTTAAATAATTTTAGGTTTACTCATTATTTTTTCCAGGAACAAATTACTTACGAGCTACCAGAACTACCAGAACTGTTTGTATGTACACATTTTATTTTTTTAATTGTTGTTATTCCATAATCATAAATTTCTCATTTTACAATCAACATTTTAAGTTTCATCGTTTGCGATGTGTATAGCTATGGGTGTTGGTTTTTGTTTCAGTTTCAGTTCAGTTTTTTTGTTTTAATTGCTAATATATTATTTAACCATTCCATATTTTTTCTCTTTATTAATAATTCTACTCTATTTTTTTGTTATTAACAATATTGATGATAACTAAAATTAATCTTTGACTAAAGATTTAAAAACTAAAAGATGGAACAAATCTTTATAATATAAAAGGTAAATTAAATAGTGTTAGATTTAATTTTAATTTTTGTCCTTTTCATAAAGATCACAAAAAAGATCTTTTGTTAACTTTTGCATACATATTAAAATTATTTTTTTTGTATGATTACATTATGAACATAATAATGACATAAGTTTGTTGACATTAATGAAAATAACGCACTAAGCAATACAAGGTTAAAATAAGGATAAAATATTAAATGTGTGATTTGCATAATATTCATAATTAACCCCATTCATTGTATTCATACAGCATCAAGTGCTCGGAGCTCCTTGGTTGAGTCCCGCAGGGGTTTCTCCAGAGTTATACCACTGTTGGAAATGGATAGCATCATAGATGCGGACATGGCTGTGCTTGATAATAACCGCTTGCATTTCTATAGGAATATTGATAGTAAGTTTTATTGCTATTCTCTTGCCTGTCCATAATACAAACTAGCATTTTAATTTAAAGATAATGAACTCTCACACATTTTTTTTAATCTACAACTTTTTACGAAAACTATAATAATAATTATAGAGCATAAGCCTTAATGATTTTATAATTTTTAGTTTAGACAATAGTTTATGCGTGCTAGTGGTACATATAGGATGTTTCAAAATAAAAAATAAATTCTAATAGTTTTTTCAGCTATATGTTAAGGACAGGAATGGATCGTTAAAAATAAAGTGAAATTTTCAGAAGTAAATAGTACTATTAACGCAGTTTAATATCCTAAATTATTAAAAAAAACTACACCTGTTATATATTATATAATACTGTATATTAAAGTAAGCACCGAGCGCTTGTTATGTATGGACCAAACCTAAGTAATATTTCCATAAATCATCAAGCCAGTGTTTTAATATCCAACTGCTTTTATAAATGAAGTTTCCCTTTCATATCTGACTGCGAAGGCATATTTTCAATTCATGTAAATAACTGTGTAATCACATGTCACAAGGTTATGTGTAAATAATATTTTTGGGTGTGTTGATGGTTCATTAATTCTATATCATTTACATTCTAAACTTCACAATATTTGTAATATCACATTCAAATTGCTTTCATTCGGCTTATGGGATTCCAAATAAACATGTATGGTTCGCTTTTATGGATGGGCAAAGAAACATTAGTTATATTTTTAAATTAAAAACTCTTAAAAAATATTATCAATAATATATTGGTAAATAAACTCGACTATATGTCCCCACTGAGGGGCTGTGACTTCTTTAAGTTGGGGGTGACTAGGCTATATTCAACTCTGGTTCAGTATGGATTGACTTCACACATATCTTTGAATTTCTTCGCAGAAATGTGCAGGTTGCATCACAATGTTTTCCTTCACCTTAATTAATAATTATTATTATTTTATAGTGTTATCATGTGAATAACAAGACTGTTGATCATTTGTTCAATTACAATTAAATCAAATTGTTGATGTAATCAACAATGGATTTAAATGTACAAGTTTTCTTAATGGATAGAAATTAAATTAATTAAAGGTTAAAGCAAAACAATGTTCCAGATGTAACTAATTTGATTTACTGCAGTCATTTTGCCATTTTGGAGAATTATTTATTAAAAAAAGGGCAGATTATGTATATAAATGTCATGAATTATTTACAGCGACTTCTAATAATACACAAAGGCCTGTTGAGACTCAGGAACAAGAAACAGAGACCCAGGAAGAGAGTGAGCCAGCTAGTAATGCTCAGATAGCAGAAATGGATAGCATCATCAGCGCAATGGAGGCAGAAGGAACCAATGGTATTGATTTTTGTAATCAATGTGGTGGTAAGTTCATATATATTGTATATGTCCATAGGACAGTGGTTACTTTGGAATTTTAGCATAATCAACTGACTGTTTCTTTACCTTATACTAAAATAATTGTAATGATGATTTTGCTAGCTGTGACTCGCGACTTCGTCCGTGCGGGATTAAAACAACTTAATTAGTAGGCTGTATTCTAGGTTATGTTCATTTATACCAAATTTCATCGAGATCCGTTGACCTGTTCCGGAGATACCTTGTAAGAAACATCCATCCATCCAAATATTCTCATTTATATTATTAGTAAGATTACCTAATTTAAATAAAACTAGTCTGTTATTTATCTTATATTAGTATGGTTTTCCTATGATTACCTTATAATCTTCAGTATTATTGAAATGCTTAGCAAAATATTTCTCTTTTATATGTGAATCATCTATAATTGTAACATTTTTCCTCCAGTAGTAATCATTTATTTATGTCTCTTCCATTGTGACCTCTAGCCTCAATTACTTGATTTATATTGAACTGAATTTATTTATAATGTCATATGACACTCAGTCAAGATTATTTACTATCTGTCGCCACGACTCCGTCTGATCGGATTCAGACAAAACTTAATAAGTAGTCTTTGTGTTTTTCTAGACTATGTTGTACATCTATGCCAATGTATCAATATCCGTTAAGCCGTTATTTATATTCCTTCTACCAAATATCCATCTATCCATATAAACATTTGCATTTATAATATTAGTAAGAAGCAATTGGTCCTTCGAGCTGGATCTGAAACAGCGACCTATGGAAATGGTTGGATCACTTTTGTCTAATTAAGAGGTCCTTTGTACCGCGAGCTCCCGTCTTTTAGGTTTTATTCAAGAATATGAACCCAATGAACATATTGAATCGCCAATAGCCCAATGGTTAAGAGTACGGTTTTCAAGTCACGTGGTCGTAGGTTCGATCCCTCAGATCGACTATTGTCGTAAACCGTATCCTACCATAAGTATAAAGCTTAGTTGGAGTGGTACAACAAGTATTAATAAATTAACAAAAAATCTTAATATTTAAAACAAAAATATTTGATTTTCAGGTAGTACTAGTTCAGATACTGCTGAGAAGAATGAATCAGATGATTCATCAAGTAGTTCAAATACGAATGTATCATTGCAGCAGGATGGAAATGTAGATGCAGTGAACGCTGCAGAAAATATTACTGCAGATACAAGTGAAAATGTTACTGCACAAAATGAAACTACTCAAAATCCAACTGCGGTGAACGAAGGCAGTGAAAATGCTACTCCAGATAATATAATTGCTGAAAGAGATAGAAGAAAAATACTTATTAAATTAAAGTTTCTAAATGATACGTTAAAAGAGGTTGAAGGCAGTCTCGATGAACTATTGAAGGATTTCAAATGGTAAGTTTTAAATTATAATACTTATATATTATTAAAAGCTGATTTAATGGAACAAATCTGCCTTTAGATCTCTATAGATATCAGCATGATCAAGAGTGACAGAACACTTTATATACAAAGTACTCTGTGGTCTGTAGTCATAGACTACTGTGAAATATAATTTAAAAAAAAGGGTTTTTTTTCTTCCATTCTTATTTCATATAATATTTATTATAAAAATGAAAAAATAATACATTTTGATTTTTTTAAATTGCTTGAAGAATAAAATTTTTGGGACATTACAGTTGTTCAAACAGTTATCTTGTTACTAAGTGAAATGTAGAATAAAGATAAAAAAAAATAAGAGAAAACATTGTAGCACCAACCTCATTACTATATTTCATACCTAGTAACAATATGCAACATTAATTTAATTTAAAAAAAATTGTTCATCATTGGTCAGTATTAGCCTAGTCGCCGTGGTGAGTGGACGTATATTAGTATACAATATACTAAATAACTTGTGTGTGTCAGGCGTCACTTCTCCGCGGAGCTGTCAGCGGAGTGCCGCGTGCGTCTGATCTTCAACGGTCGCGTGCTGCTGGAGGAGACGGCCACGCTGGAGGCGTGCGGGCTGCATCACCGCGCCGTCGTGCACTGTCTCGTTCATCCTAAGAGGAACAATACCCAGGTACCCTATCTACTCTTTTGTACTAACCAGTACTTTCGACATATGAAACATTTCTAAGAAAGATTAGATTTTAATATCTTTTGAAACAAATAACAACATAACTCACGTCCGTAACCCAAAGGGGTAAGCAGAGACCACAGACCTCCATTTTGCGCAATCCTGATACATCTTTCTTGCTTCTTCTACATTCATACATCCACGCAAACATCTACGTCGGTTTCGAGTGTTCTCAATTTGTTTAGCATTTTAACGGTTAAAGTCAAGATCTCTGTATAATCGTCATCCCTATCATTGTCTTGACAAAACAGAGATAAGAATATGTTTTAAACGGGGATTGGTCTCAGAAACCCATAATAAAACACGTGTAGTCAAATATATATTGATACGTACAGCAACGTGCAGCGGAGGAAGGCAGTGGCGTTGTACCGGAGGGGGGCGCGCGACCCGCGCAGGCGCAGACTGAGCGCGCCTGGGACATGGAGAATATACTCATGACCATAGTTTCCATCGCGCTCACTGTCGTCTGGTTCTTCAGGTAAAGTTTGACTATCGCATTAACAGATGTTAATTTAGCTTTAAGGATTTGCCTTAGTGTAGATTTCTGGTACTAAATGTGCATTTATTGTGCCATAAGGATCTTATAATTTTTGACATTGACAAGGATTACCAGTGAGCAAAAACTTCCAAAAGTAGTCCATGTTGAAACTCCAAGCAATTGATTTGCAAGTTATGACCTGAGTTCTCTGGGTAATTTTTTTATACAATGCTTTATCCTAACAAATTAATCTACATGTCATGAGTGATATTTTCATGATTTTTTTTTTCAATTATGAAATTATTATAATGGCAACATTAAAATCTGCAACTGCTGCTTTCTAATTGGTCGTAATATGAAGCTGTCAAGATGACAGTTAGTTGACATATTATCCGACTACCATAAGATCCTTGTGAAACTATACCGAATAAAATACTTGTTAATTGTCTCCAGATGTGAGTATTCGAACATGTTCACTGCGAGCGCGAGCGTGGCTCTGTTCGGTCTGACCGTGTTCTACAGCGTGGCGATATTCGGCCTCTACCTCTCTGACACATTCATCGAGAGGCGCAACTCGGACACCCCCCTACCTCCCAACTAAACAAACTACTACAGCCGTTTGAACGCTATTATAGCTAAAACTGTATTGCTTTTTGGACTGTAAAGTTTGTCCACCCATTTCGTTGAATTAACGGTCACAATGCAATTATATACCGACAAGGTTACCTGAACCGGTGGGCGTAAGTCAAACTAATTGTGACAGCTCAGTAGCGCCCCCCTACAACACAAGATTCTCTTTATACTGTAGCTGTAATGTCATTTTCCATGACTTGCGCATTATATATATTATATCTACAGCAGCGCCTCTCACCGGTTCATATACCCTTGTTTGACTAAAGCTGTAAAACTTGTCACAGCCACATATATAGGGAAAGTTTTTCTGTTTTTTGTACGATATTCGGTCAAAAGTGGGAAGCGATAATTCCTTTGCTTTAGGGTCACGCGTTGGGGTTACTAATACTGTATTAGGTTATAATGGTGACCTAAATAACCGTGAATATGTATCTCGGTAATTTTTTTTCGAACGTTCATAGACAAAAAAATCCGTCTAAGAATTATTTTTACCAAATAAAAATTCGACAAATATGCTTCAGTTTTAATTGCAATTTATTACAAATGAAGTAAGATTTTAGTCGAACTAGGGTTTATAAACATTTGAACGTAAAACGGAACATGGTTTATGTCAAACTTATTTTGCGATAGCACTATATTTATTTCTACGCGGAAATTTTAGAAATATGTAGTTGTAATTAAAGTTAAAATTATCTGTTATTTGTTTTAAAATGGATTGCTGATAAAATTCTTAGAAATTCTTGTTTAATTGTTATGTTTCGCACTTTACTAAGTGATAAAACAATATTACGTTTGTATTCAAATTCCTAATTACGGAAATAATCATATTACAATTTTTTTTACGACGAAACATATTTGTCAAACGTAGCTTCTTTTGTCTTATTCTGTGTAAATACCGTAATATTTTGAAAGTACCATTTTCTATAATCTTTGTTGTTACAATTATATGTTGTATATATTGTTAGAACAATATAATTATTTTGATATAATCTCTTTTTTCCAAAAATATTAATTTTAAATTAAAGCTATTATAATCAATGGTACAAAAGAAACTTTACTATTCGAATGAAACTTCACTCAATATGAATGCTTAAGAAAACTATAAATTTTATAATTTAAAAATGTTAGCGTGCTATGGAACATTCCAAATATTATGTTTGTACTGCAAACAACTAGATCGGATATTAAGAAAGATGTCTAGAATAGGCAACACTAGACATTTTGATGTTTCTTACTTGACTACAAATAAATTTAATTCTACAGTAAGATAACTTTTTTAAAATTAAAAAAAAAATCTTTTTTCGTATGAGCAGCGATACATTCACCTTTTCTGTATTATTTCATGTAAAAGAAAAAAAACTTTTTATGTTTAAACATGTGAAAGCTTACTTGTATGCTATGACGAAAATATATTTATAGTGCAGTTTATATTGTGATAATTACACAGTTAGGTGGCAACCCTTTTAAGTAATGAATCTTGTTCGTGCTGTGTCTTACAACAACTGCCACTATGTTATCAAATTATCTAATACGACGCGGGCACAATAACTTAAAAGTAAATGCTTGCCTGCTTCCCGTGTTCTTGTGAGACGATGTAAACGTCCACGTTATACTATATGACGTCATAAACTTTTGTAATCTGTTCCCGAGGTATTGTGTTATTGTACTCGAGTAGTATCTTTGAGGTATATGTTAGTGGTTTATGATAAATTATATAGCTTATTTATTAAGACGTTTTTGTCATTATGCTTTCACTTGGGTTTGTGATAAATGCCTTGTAAATATTATCAAAGAAACATTGTTTTTTTAGGTATATATCTCAGACCTATGTATTTTATATTAATCACATTGAATCTATAACGTGTCTCCAGTTAGCACAATAAATTATACATTTAAGTCTTGTAGCACTGTCCGGAGTTGATTAGAAATGTCTGAAACATTCGGTGGTTTGTAATGTTGGCGGGTTATTTCATAGCTTAGTCTGCCTTAATATTTGTAAATATATGCTTTTTGTACGCCACGAGCTATTATTTGTTTTAAATTTTTAGTTGAGTTCATTGATTGTTAGAATTAAATAAAGTTCCATAATAATCGTATTTGTATTGCAATTTTCTAGACATTAAAGTTTTTATTGTAATTTAATTTTAAGATTCTATAACTATGAATAAACTATTAACTTCGTGTTTATATCCTGTCTCACTTTGGTAATATTAACTTGTATCTCTGAAATTGAATTATGGAAATATGGACAGCATACTTTATACCAATTCTAGAGAAATATGCTGTGCTAGAATTGTTACCGCCTTGTTATAATTTGATTTGGAAGTACAAATTATGATCTATATGCGGATCATAGTTTTCTCTGCAGAGACTCGAACCCACGGTCAAAATGTTAGGCTCATAGTTCTTCATAACATAATTTTGTTGTTTTTTTTTCATTTTTTCCTCATTTTTGGTAAAGGTAAAATTTTATGTGCAACAGGATTGGAAAAAATAAACATTTGTCAAAGATTCAACTCATTTATTACTTGTAACGAATCAAAATATATTTATAAATAAATATATATATATATATATAAAATAGCTTTGTAAGTGAGATTGTGAAGTTCACTGAATGTCCAAGTCTGTAAAAGAAAATTAAACCATGAGATTTTTTTACAAAAAAATTTACAGAATTACAATTTAGCATAAGGTTTTGCATGTTGCCCGCCGGATTGAGGTTAATTGAAAATTTAAATAACAATAACCTCACCTAGACGAGAACAATTATCTTTCCAAATTACTTAGCCTCATTAAAATCATTTAATAAGAAAATAGGAAAATAATTTGGATGGTAATTACTCTTATTTTTTCAATAAACAAAGAAAAATATAGTTACCTTAATTTTAAGTGTTCATCACAGGAAGTGTATAGTAATCTGCAATTAAAAAAAATATTTTTTAAAACAAATTGTCTTGTAAAAAATAAATTTAAAAAAGTATATATTTAGTTCAGCCATCCAAGGAAGTTAATAATGCGTGGTAATCATGGTTTGCGCATTCATAAATGCATTATCATCATTTTAATTATCAAAAGCACACTAGAACAGGAAATAATAAAATATTCACCTTTTCAAACATGATTCAGTCCAAACTTGAGTCCCAACTGAAATCAAAAATACAAACATTGAAATTATTCTTTAAAAGCTAACATGAAATCAAAAAAATTTAAATAATACTTACAGAAAATTTTACATGTGTATCATCAGCTCACTATACCACTTCACTGAGGGGCTCGGAGCCTACAGAGTCAGAAGTGACTAGGTAAACATGTGTAAGAAGGAATTAATAAAAAATCAAGTAATTGTGGTAGTAAATATTTATTTCCCACTCTAGACTTGAAATCTGAAATACAGAAACATCAAGCCAGAAATGGTTAATTGTATTTTTATCGCTTGCGGTGCAACTGTAAGGTGTTTCTGCGGATCCAGGTTGCTTTGCGGGAACCTCCCTTGGTCTGGGAGAATCTGTGGCCCTTGCCAAGACCGCGAGAGCTTCGGCCTGCAGATGTGAGTCCACGCATCTCACGATGCTTGTGAACTGCATTCACTATCCAGTTGATCTTGGGATCCCGTCGAATAGCCTGTAAAATTGCTTATGTTAATAATGTAACTATAGGGTAACTAGTTTTAGTCATGTAACATTATTATCAGAAAAAATGGTAGGTGCTTTTACATCAAAACCTTTCAGATTGGTGCATGACAACTTGAACTCATCATAGAAAATCAAAATTGACTAAAATAAACCACATGGTATTTAGCTAAAACAATGAAGAAACATTACCTTATGTGATGGATCAACAAGGATGACTTCATAGTATTTGTATGAGGAATCTTGGGCAACCCAGTAGGAGTTTAATACTCTCAAGCCTCCGCATCGGCGGCCAACACGCTCCTGTTAACAAACATTATTTAAACAAGAGTTAATACTAAGCTGAATAAATCAAAGCCAATGTTTATGAGTTCATATATTATCAGGCGAGTTTGAGCACATGTGACATATGTCAAGAAATTAGAGAATAACAAGTTACCTCAGCAATAGACTGCAAGTTGCGCGTGGGTTTCAGTTGGTTAACACCGTGGCTCTTGGGTTTGCCGTAGGTTGCACCCTTGGCAACTGGGCGTTTGCGGCCACCACGGCGCACGCGGATTCTGAAGATCACGTAACCTACAAACATATAAAACATGTAATTATACAAAGTCAGCCATGCATTAACAAATTGCTAACGAAAATGACAGAATTGCCAATTGATAACTCACCTTGCTTGGCACGATAACCAAGCCTTCTAGCTTTGTCGGGCCTTGTAGGCCTAGGAGCACGATGCATACGAGTCAGTTGGCGGTACTGCCATACTCTTACACGCAATAGAAAACGCATAACATCGCTCAATTTTTTTCGGTACAGCTCCTGAATATATCTGTACGCACCCATCTTGGGAAGCCTGTGGCAGACCTAGTAACAAAATCAATAACAATTGATCAGAAGTCACATCATCGGTCTGGCCACAAATAGAGCGATTTGAGACCCGCCAGGAATGACATGCTTTGACTAATACAACTGCAATGAGAGGAATCAAATGAAATATATTTAACGAAATACATGATCACTATTTTACTAATCATTGTAATTTAGTAAAAGTGTACATTAAAAGTTGAAAATTCACTTGGATTACTAGAGAAATTAAAGATTTAATTTACACATACGTCTCGCGCACTCCACAGGTAAACCGGAAAAGAGTAAAAGAGAACTAATCGAATGTCTAATTTGTTACCAACTCTAAACTCTAACCACTGACAATATAACCAAAATCGGTGTTGCCTATTAAAAGTTTTTAAATAGTACCATTTTTAAGACTGTTTAAAATGATGTTTTGTTTGGATTTTGTCATTAATGAGAACGTAATTAGTTAAAAAAGATCAGATATATATTGCATTGAAAAACCAATAGATAGGAATAATTTTATGTCTTCAATCTCTCCTCTCTTAAAATTTCTTTCTATTTGCTGTAGCAACATGTGGACAACCATAGATAAAATTTAGTAAAAATTAATAGTTCAAAGTTAAATAGTTTACTTAAAAAGTGTTATTCATCTTTTTTTATGATAAGTTTTTATTAACCTAAATAATTAAAAAATTTAATTGTAAAACTTAAAGAAGCTTAGTAACTTTCGGACGTAAAAAACGGTTAAGCAGTTTTTTTTATAGCAAGCTGTCGCCATCTTGAAGGCGTAATTGTTGTCATGTTTACGTTGTGTGTGAAAGGTGATTTTTGTAATTCTTGAAATAATAATTAGGTAAAACGTTTAAACTGTGAATATATTTACAATGAAGTTCTTTAAATATATTGTGTGAATTTGTTTTGCTGAAAATGTGTCGAAAAAACATAAATGTGTACAAACCTAAAGGGGTACTAGAATAGGCGCCAAATTGATGTCGTTAATGATTTTCTAACTTCCTTCCATGTAATAATATAAATATCCTCATGTTTATGATATTTGAATAAGCGGCAGTAATGGTTACATTGCTTATTTCAGACCGAGGTTAATGTAACAACTTGGATTAGGTGAATTACAAAAATGTTTTACGCACATTTTGTGCTGGCCAAAAAGGGCCCTTTGGCCAAGATTTGGCTGGCGGCACACTGGGACAAGAAGTTAACTAAGGCTCATGTTTTTGAAACTAACATTGAGAAGTCTGTCGATGGAATCCTTAAACCAAAGGTCAAAATGGCCTTACGGACTTCAGGCCATCTGTTGCTTGGGGTTGTCAGAATATATTCTAGAAAAGCAAAGTATTTGCTTCAAGATTGTAATGAGGCTTTTGTCAAGATCAAGGTAAGATTAATTCCGATTTAAAAAGTAACAATGTTATTCTGTAGGTATAACAACAAAATAAGTTTTGTTGTTGAAGTATAGTTCTTTCTAATGCAACTAATTCAATAAACACATAACAAAATATAATAAATATTTATTGAAAACATTATTCGATTTATATGTTGCAACCAATGGCATTAGGGAATTCTAAAGAAAGAAAAATGGAATGTGTGGAGTGAAAGAGCAGTGTATCAGTATAACATCATATAATTGCACTAATAAACTTGATCCAAGATGAAGACATTGCTTTTAAACAGCCTGATTCGCTGCTGTCCAATGATGTTTTTTAATTGAAAATATTTAGATTAAGTTGTTGCGCCTGAGAAAGCCTTTATGTAGAAAGGACATAGAGAAAATTACAAGCTCAACTGTCTCATGCACTCTCGATAAGGTTGAATGAAAACTTAAGCACATTATTGAAAGTTCCAGTTCTAAATATTTTTTAGTTTTTATTAGCCTATTGCTAATGTAATGTTACCTTGTCTAGTAGGCAGGTTTATCAACTTTATCTTTAGTGATTTTTTTGTGTATATATCATTGAGTATATTGTATGTACTGCAAATGCTTAAATTTCTTTGCAATCATATTTTCACCAAACACTCCAGATGGCCTTCAGGCCTGGTATGGTGGATTTGCCAGAGGAGCACCGGGAAGCAGCCATGAATGCAATTACATTGCCCGAGGTCTTCCATGACTTTGATACCGCCATGCCAGAGCTTAAGTAAGTTATTCTATGTACTATATAAATTTATGAACTAACCTACTCTATAATTGTTAAGTATGCTAGACAAAATACTGTTGACGATTTTGGACTTATTATCAACATGCAATAAAACTTTTTTTGTAATATTAGTATAGATTATATATTACTTTATAATATTTATTATCTGTACCTATTTAGGATGTTCGATGTGTACATATAAATATTTTTATATCTCACCGATTTTATCTAGCAAATTTTCATTAAGTAAAAAATAGTAAACTGATATAATACATCTAAGTATTATGTTGTTTAGGTAATGTTTCCATTGTAATTATTTTTATTCACCATCCAGTGAAGTGGACATTGAGGCCCAGTTCTCATTGAACCAGTCCAGAGCTGAAGAGATCACAATGAGGGAAGACTATGGTTCTTTGAATCTTGTCACACATGATGATGGCTTTGGTGATATGGGATTTGATACTGACAATCCTGATATAATGAGAGAAGCTATAGGCAATGGAGGTGGTTTGGAACAGGTAATTATGAATTCATTAAACATGTAGATATATTGTTTGTTAAACTTTAGATTCTTATGTTGCAAGTTTTATAGTGTACAAGTCTAAGTAAACTGAGATGATTGCCACCAAAAATTAAAAACAATTAGCTGTAATAAAGTTGTCATTTCTTATATGTATATGAATTGCACTGATGAAATAACAAGTTAAAACAAAGCAATACTAATTCAAGATATATTGACAGAGCAACTTGTTGTTTGCGGACGGGTCGTCGCTGGAGTTGGGCGGGAAAGAAGCGGGGCCGAGTGCGCCCCGCGACGAACCCCGTCTCGAGCCTGCGCCTGCGCACATGGACGACGGCTTTGGTGGCAACATCGCCGATGTTCCCGACTTTGGACGTTAGTACATACTATAATTCGTAAATTTTATATTATCGTAATATAATTATTTATCTACCGATCGATCGATATATCGATATCAATAAATTTGTGTTTGCAGATGCGGGAGGTTTGTTCGAAGGGGATCTGTTTGGCGACGTGACCGCGGGCAGCTCTAGCACGGGCGCCGCCGCCGGTATACCCGGCACCTCTGCACAGCCACAGTCGTTGCAGGTAAATAATATACTTTTTATTGGGAAAAAATGGTGATGGTAAATCTGCTAATGTCAACCTCCTAATTGCCCAACAAAACTATTTTCGTATACACTATAAAACTATTAACATTTGCAAATATGTGTACAGGCAGAGATAGAGGCGGCGGGTGAGGGAGGTGCGGGCGAGGGTGAGCCGGGCGCCGTCGACGCCCATGACTCTGATGATGACATGGCTGACCACTACGACGCCGGCAATTCGCCCCATCACAGGTAAAAATTGTTAAAAAATAGATATTAAATAAAAAGCAAATGGCAAATAGAGGTATTGTCAAATGAGCCTGGAATTCTCAGCTGCTGAGCAGTTAGTAGTACACTTTGGGATGGAAGTGGAACCAGTTAGGAACATATTTATCAAGAAATGGATCAACTTGTCCAAATTTAAAAACAAAAGTAATCAGCAAAAACAAATTATTTTTAATTTCTACGTTAACAACAGTTTTTAAGCTGAGTAAATATAAACTATTGCTATAAAATCGTGATTAACTATTATTACTTCACAGAATGAATTTAATAATATCACAACAATTTGCTATTCCAGTTGGGGCGGATCACCACCTCATGATCCCGGGACTCCACGGCACATGGACACTGATGAAGCAGACCTCATGCCTCCGCCTGCCGCACCCAGACCACCATCAGTCAGGCCTATGGTAACCTCGCATGATTTACCGAAAATATTATTATACCGCATAATCCATGAAAAATTTATTTAAAAGCAATTTATGTGGTACTTATACCATATGCAATTGCATATGCGTTTGCAATTAAAAAGATGAGGGGTTTTGTAGTACAATCGCGTAAATAACACCTCAAAGTATACTCCGATAAAATGATCGTTAATGATCTGTTCACACAGACTGTGGCGGACACAGATTTTTTGTTACATATAAAATATAATCAAGCTTTATGCAAATGACACAAGGTTTAATTTTGCTTTGCACCTTTTTTTTCAAGAGCATAAAGTATTTCAACTTTGAATCTAAAACTTTCTTGCTTATATGTATTTATTTTAACATAATTTATGTTTTGCCAGGATTTGGACGGTCCAGAAGCAGCTGTTGATGAGCCAGAGAAAGCGGCGACACCTGCGCCAGCGCTGGATACCACTACGCTACTCAATAACGATGAGGAATCGTTTGCTTTGGCCCCAGTCGATGCTACAGTGCTTAAAGGTATAGATCTGATTGTCTATTGCAAATCCTATTCATTTTCTATACTCTAGACACTAAAATAAAAATATATTAAAAAAAGGAATACTCAAATTATGTATTGAGGATAAAGCATTTGATGGCGGTATTCGTGGCACATTTTCGAAACAGCCCATGTGTATCATCGAAAATTATATCTTAAACTCTATTAATTATTTAACAGGTATAACGAAAACTAAACGGAAAAGGAAGCTGATCGTGGACGAAGTTAAGAACATATCAGGCGAGGAGATGAAGAATCAGCTCAGTAATACATCAGATATACTGACAACGTTGGATCTAGCGCCGCCGACACGACGTCTCATGCATTGGAAGGAGTCGGGCGGAGTGGAAAAGTTATTCAGTTTGCCTTCCAAGCCGATACCCTCCAAGATATTGTTCAAGGTATACAGTCTTATTGCAAGATCTTTAGTGACACATAGAGAGCTTCTTGCAATACAATAAATGTCACATTACGCACGGTTTACATTTAGCAAGTAAAAGACAGTACCACTGGCCTGGCATGGACTGTTCGGCTCAGTGTTACAAATTACTGTTAACATTATTCCAGTTGTATGCCTGCGCTGACTTTGAGCGCTACAATCCTACTGTACTGGCATAATTTAAACCAAGCATTATAAATTATTATTAAAAGGCAGACTACATTTTGATAGCATGAATTTTAACAACATGGATGATGATTATTTGAATTGCAGAGATACGAGCGTAACATGACGAAGCGCAGTGAGCAAGAGGAGGTGGAGGCTGCTGGCGCGCGCTCTCCAGACCCAGAACCTGTGCGTCGTGCCGGCCGCAAGCGAAGGCATGAGGAGGTAAACTTACTCGACCGCGAATCCGTCCGCGCGGAATTAAAAAAAATAATTAGTAGCCTATGAGTTAGCCATTTTTGCCAAATTTCAGCGAGTTCTGCAGATCCAGAACGGCTGTATGGATCTCCAATGGAGATACCTTCAATTTTAATTAGATGAAAAAAATGCAAATTTTTATCAATGTACGTCTTAAGAGGTTTAATATTTCCATGTGATTCAGTTAATACAACCACCAACGCCCGGACAGAGCTCAGATTTGGAACCTCCGACACCGGTTCCTCAAGAGTACGAGCCTTCAGTCGGTATGTCATTGTTATATGTATTTATCAACATAATAAATAATTCAATTGCCTTGCAGCTGTTCATAACGCATTATTCACACTAACATTCGGTGATGAGCATTTGCTTCCACAATCCAATCATATATAAAATTGGATTTTATAATCTACTAGGAATCATTTCAAACCTAAAAGATACATTTTTCACATTTCGTCTATTAAAACCAATATAAAAGTAACATTGATGCAATTTAACAATTTCGTACGATATACAATGTCATAAACTTGTACATATTGACCAAATTATCTTTAAATCCATGAAATAGGAACAAAAAGTATTAAGCTAGTCTTCCTATCTAAGTTAGTTTACACCTTAATTTTAAATAAGTTTATTGATACTTTGGTCATATCAAATAATATAAATATTTAACAACGCACATGCATCTAACCGCACAACATTAACTAATGGTGGCAGTGTCGGAGCACGTGTCCGAGCCCCAGTCCCCGCAGGTCTCGAGACAAGACGACGAAGCCCCGCAGACACCTGGTACGTTTGCATGATACGCATCATTACGCCTTATTAACCAATTAATATTTAGTTAAAATATACCCAAAGCTATTTTGTCTATTTAAGATTTTGTTAAAAATATAAGTATTTCTTCTCTTTATTTTTATTTGTAAAGGTGAAAATTTTTTTTTCTAAAGGACCTGGTACTTTACTTCCATAGATAGAGTGACATATAAACGTCCTAATTCGTAATTATGTCCTTTAGTGTAAATATTAAAATGCGAATTCGCAAAAACCTATTCCTATTTTAATGTTTAATTTTCAGGTGGCATGCTGAGTTCATTAGGTCCGCCCTTAACACCGGGACCATTAACGCCCGGGACACTGTTACAAGGTGGCCTAACGCCTGGCGGACTGCAGCATGGATCTATGACACCTGGTAATATTTATATTTCTAAATATTCACATAAAACCACCACAATTATGTTTATTGTACATTTAATTGAATACTTTTGTGTGCAGGTGGACTACAACACGGTGGCAGGACGCCAGCGGGCTTACAGCATGGGTACATGACGCCCGCGGGACTGCAGCATGGCGATGGACAACCCATGGACCTGGGGCTTGCGGCTGGTGGCATGACGCCCGCCGGACTACACCATGGTGGTCAGTACATTTGAATTCATTCTTATGTTAAGAAAATTAGACTACACTATCATTCTAGTTAAAACAAACTACAAGACAACGTCGAATCTGTTAATATAATCAAAGCTCTTTGTTACACGCATTAAAATTTAGCCTTTGTTTTTCTTTTAAATTAACTTATGAAGTATGTGAATTTGCATTGTTCCGTTATTTTCAGGCATGACGCCGGGCGGCATGACCCCAGGGTTAGGCCTAGACAGTGGAATGACGCCGGGCGGGCTGGTGCACGGTGGTCTGACACCGGCGGGTCTTCACCACGGCGGAATGACGCCAGGTACCTTCATTAATACCATTATTACGTTATTATTTCATTATAAACCTCGAAAATTTATGAAAACAACTTTGCATCTGAGTCTGATGATATAAATCTTTTGTTGTAGGAGGTCTAGATCATGGTGGCATGACACCAGCGGGTCTCCAGCATGGTGGTATGACCCCGGCGGGCCTGCAACACGGAGGACTGACACCCGCGGGCCTACAGCATGGTGGCATGACTCCCGCCGGTTTACAACATGGCGGCATGACGCCTGTCGGCTTGCAACACGGCGGGATGACGCCATCAGGTAAATGCCACTCATCATTTTAACTATTATCTTGATTGCCTACTCCTATGTCGTGCCTACCATACATATTCGAATTGCTTAAAATGTATCGTGCTTTATTTTTAACTAGTTGTCGCCAGCGACTCCGTCCGCACGGATTAAAAAAACTTAATGAGTACTCTGTGTTCTTCCAGGCTATTTTCTACATCTAACATTACCAAAATCCGTTCAGCCGTTCCGGAGATACCTTCATCCATCCATCCATCTAAACATTCGTATTTATAATATTAGTATGATTACAACAAACCCTATTATGTGATGGCAAAGACTTTGCATGTATTTTAATTATATTTGTTTATGTCATGGCATAACACTCTTTATGTATTTATCAGGTTTACAACACGGTGCGCTACTGCAGCATAGTATGGAGCAGCTGCCGATGATGCCGCAGGTGGGCGGCGAGCAGGCGGCGCTGCTGCGGCCCGCACCCGCGCCCTCCGCGCAGCCGCACCACCACGAGCCCCCGCACACCCTGCCCATGGAGCCCTTACCGCTACACGGACTTGACGACCACACAGACTATCAGGTACATGTGCACTCCATATGATGCTGGTCCCTAGCTCAACTTTTTTCATACCATAAGGCGGTAAATTAGCAAGCGGTCTGAATTCGAAATAGCGAAGCGACGGCTGCCCATAGAAATCTGCTATTGCAGATACTTTTTCTATTTTTAATCGACGGAGTTGAGGACTCACAGAAAGAGGGTATAACTTACAAAATTTACATTCATGGAGAGGACGCAATATGTCAATTTTTATCTGATTATTAAAGCCTGGGTATCAATAGCGCATGTACACAAGGTAATTGGAACTTGGAATACGTATATATGAAGATATATTGATTAATTTAAAGTGTCTTGAACTTGCAGACTGGCATGCAGATGACCAACTTAGGGTATGACGACCAACAGGGACACCACAGCCCGCCACATGACTACGATTTACCACTCAGTGTTGAAAATGTAAGTGCTGCGATTTACATAATTCTATACATAGATTTAAAACTTATAGATAGATTGTAACACAAAAGTTTGACGTCTAATCTGGAACAGATTCTCGACAAAAAGCCCCTAGAGGTCCTTTTTTGCTTTACTTTAAAGCATTTTGTATCTGTAGGTTTATATATCTATGATTCTATATTTATATCTTATGAACGGTAGAACTGTTAAAATTGTGTGCTTATTATATTCTTATATATCTTATTAAAGTTTGTTAAATATTATAACGCAGACTCAGTCAGCCAATATTTGTTCCCGACGAGGGGCTCCTACCTTAATATATGTTGATCTCACTACTGAAAAAATAAGTGAAATATATGTTTTTGTATGTCCAGGGTGAGGAAGGATCGCGCGAGGCTGGCGAGACGGAGGAGCAGTTCTCTGAGCGCGTACTGAACAGACGCGCGGCGCAGCTGTTCGCGGTGATGCGGCCCCGACTTGCTGCAGGAGACGCGCTCACCTTCATCGATCTCGCGCCGCCCCACAACAACAGGAAACAGGTCACAATACACTACTTAAATAGAACAATTTTCATATGAATTATTGCGTATTTGATTTGGAAAATGTTGGAAATTATTTGTAGAAATTCGTAATCCTTAGCTTTGTAACATCGAATGTGTGAAGAAAAACATAGGCCGAGTATCGGAGAGCCAAAAAATTAAGAATCACAAATAACCTATTCTACATATTAATGTTTTTAATATTGTATTCATATTGGCGAATTATTAATTAAAATTATAATTTTGATTGCAGGTAGCTCAAAAATTCTACAGTTTATTAGTACTCAAGAAGCATCAAGTGCTCAAGTTAGATCAACGTGAGACATACGGCCCTATTCTCATCTCTAAAGGCGAGCAGTTCGAAACTGAAGCGATTTAATTATTTTATAGTGTATTTATAAAGTTGTCGGAAACAAAATATCAAGTAGTTGTAAAAGAGGGTAATTATTATAAGGCGGTGTGATGCTGTGACAACAGATTCTACTGGAGAGAGTTGAGCCAAATATATTGTGTAAGATGAGCCGATGAGTCGACCTCATGCAAACGTAACACGGTGGGTTTCCACTGTTAAAAAACATTAGCATCTTTTCATTCTCAACATTGACAACTATATTTTTAATACTGCAGTGGAATTAAACTGTTATATTCTTTTCATCTTTTGTTTATTTAAAAATTAATGTTTCATCTTCTGATTTGTTTTAAAATCTTCAAAATATTTAATTAACTGCATAATTTGAGAGTAAGAATCATGTTATTTAGTTTATGACCTACATTTAAATAAGCTGACTATTGCTATTAGCAATTTTCCTTCCATAACTTAAGGATTTCTAAAATAACATTACATAGTTTAGAAACCTAATTTACGGAGTAGCTGTTAAAATGTAAAACAGGGTATTACTTTTTTGTATTAAGAAATTAAAATTAAAAACTGTAATTGAAAAAAATATATTTTATTATAAGTTTGAGTTGACAAATATTTTTATTTAAATTTTATTGCATTTTCGACTTAAAATTGTCAGTCATTTTGCTCCTATCTTGTCAGATTATTTTGTAATGTTTCCATGGTCTCGACTCATTGGCGTAAAAACAGTTTTCACGGGGAAAAGGACGTCGGATAGACTTGTAGAGAATTGCCTTATCTTGTTTTGCTTTAGGTTGTAAGTCAAATTATTGTAAACTATTTACGATTATTCTATGTTTTATAGATCTACGTGATATATTTCATAGATTTTATCTATACTAACGGATTGGACGGAACGAGACGGGTGACCTTTTGACAGTTGACTAATTTTCGTTTTGACATTTGTGAATGTGACCTTTAAGTTTTAATGACTGACTTGAATTTGAATGTTGTGAAAAAGTGTGTAAAATTATTTATACACATATATTATCTTTTATTTCCCTCTGAAGTTATTCAACCAATCCGTTAGTATGATAAATGTATGATATTGGTATTGTTAAGTGTCACTTTGAATCCAAAATTGTTCAGTATCGAGTTTTACTCGGACGAAAATTATGTTATAATTATTGACTGATACGTATTTATGAGAAATGCATATATTTTTGTTCTCAAGGAAGTGTAGATCATTAGAACATCAGATTATTTGTTACATCATGTTTATAGCAAACGTATGATCAGCGGCTGATTGTGAGCAAGCAACTATGAACCCTAGTGTGAAAATAATGCTGAATTTTATGTCAGAGAGTCTTGGCGTATCATCATATGATGATCATCACATGATGATGATGACTACTCTTGGCGTATAGTGTAGGGTAAAGTAGTTGTAAGCAAAATATAAATATTAATAGAAATAAATAACATGCTGTATAACATTTGCTCATAGTCGGCGGCTGACATTCAGTTTGATTCATAGTCCATATAGATGACATCTTTTGAAATCTAATAGTTTGTAAAGATATTTGTTGCTTTTAAATTGTTATCGTGCCTTTCAACTGCCACAATATTCATAAAAACACAATAAAATCAATACAATCGGCAGTTGACAAGAATCAGTACTAGTATATTATACTTTTTTCATTATAGTATTTTACGAATGACGTTTTCGATAGATCGGTTTTAATAATGCGTGGTTGAATTAAATTAAAAATTAAATTGTGAAAAAAAATTAAACTTTTGCACCTTTACAATGTACAAAAATTTATATTTATTACTTTTAAAATGAGTGTGTGAAATGGTAAAATGTTATTTACATGATGCTATAATGAAAAGAGATAAACTATTTTTGAGAATGGTTTATTAGTATTGTAGCATATTTTCGTTGAGTTGACTTAACAATTCATAGTCTACTTCTTTTTTACTTAAATTACAGTGTTGCAGATATATGTCTATAGCGAAATTTATGTATATTTAATAAAAATAGAGATAAGATTACATAATCATGAGAAAATATTTTCATTGAAAAGAAAATAAGTCAAAAATAAATAAAGAAAAAAAATAACAAAATCCCATTCAGGTCGCAGCTGTGGATTTTTTACATTTCTTTGAGAATTTTTTTTTGTAATCATTTTTGTTTTTAAATTGTGCTTATTCCCGCCAAAAGGATTATATCGGTTTTAGGCTGTATTCGTTTTGGTGTTTTCTAAATCCAAATTATGATATAAAATAAGCAAAGCATTGAGAATGCCAGAACCTGTTTCATAAGCGTAGGGTTAAAATGTAAATCGTGATTTAAATGTTTACCTCTGACTACTTTGATTTATGATCTGAGTATTTTGTTTTTGCAGAGGTATCCACTTAGACACATATCAGACATATTTGAAATAAATTTGTTAAGAAAAAGAGAATTTCATTTTAACAGGCCAGGATACTGGTTAATTAGGGAGAAGTACTACTTTTAAAATTTGTATGCATTCACATAATCGAAAGGCGTTTTTGCAGCTATTGCATAATGAGAAACCAACACATAGAAAGGTTACCATAAAATACATCGCTTGCTTGTTTCCAGCTGCTTCACTTACCGTGGATTTCCAATGTCTACATCACGAGATCGTCCCTTATATGCTTTGGTATTACGGTTGTGGAATTTCACCGCAATACCGATTAATCATACGCGTCACGAAGTTCAATAAACTCAACAAGATGTCGCTGTAGTCGAAATAGGACGGGAGCTTTTGCAATATTGATTTTAGGAACAGCGCAAGTGCCGTGTCTAAACTGCCTTCATACATATAGCCATGTCCTACATACCCTTACGAAATAGGTTATGCCTCTTTTGGTGAAATTGTTTCAAGTTGTATGATTTCTCTTGCAATTTTATAATTCTTTTCTAAGCAAATACGTGCTGCACTTAGATTTTTTTCAAAGCGATAAAAATGAAAATTCTTCTCCCGTTTATTAGGATAAAAAGATTTCTGTGGCCCCCAGCCCAACTTTGTCCATTTTTCTTTTCTAATCAATAATTTAAAAATTGGGAACCATGCGTTCCCAGTCTGATTTTGATTACATAACTAGATTACGGTCAAATAAAAAATTAATTGGAAATTCTGTGAATTTCAAACGGTATGCTTGTTTCCCATACTACTGCTTACTCAGTTTTCTTTAGGAAGAATGAGATAAATAGTAATATTATCGTAATACAGATGTTCGTCGTAACACCTCGAATATTGGTCTCAGAAAGGCTTTCTTTCTACTTAAAGTACTATATATGTTACATCAAATGCAACTTTATTTAAGCTATCCAACATTACCAGTGTTTAAGTTTTTCCAATTTTTAGTTTTAATTTTTTTTTTGGTCATCAAATTTGATTATGAAAAAATTGCATAATATTGTTATGGTTCTGATTTTTGGGAAAAAGCATCTGTTTAAGAAAAAATGCTCAAAAACGTTTAGTTTGTATCATTTAATCGCCCTAAAAATGTACAATACAGATGCCGACATTCCCAAACAGTAACAAGTGAAGTTGATGACGATACACACGCAATACACGCTTTACTGGCTTAATATATCATCACCAGACCTTCAACAATTATACTGAGAGATTATCCATAACATGATTTTACAAAACAACTCTACAATAATCAGGTATAGGAATAATTGTAGTATTCATTGAATGTTTAAAAACAATGTTTTATTAGCAGATTTTATACTACATAATTAAATAAATTGCATTCCTGATGTTGCACTGGTGAGTGAAACATAATTACACAGTCCTTACACCACTATGAGGGTGAGGTTTCCACACAATTGATTCCACGGCCGTCCACTCCAGATAGTAAACACTGAAACCTCGTTATGTCGGATGGCAGTAGTAGTGTTCTTAAAAGTAATTGGCTTAGAAAGCAAACAGCAGCAAGAAGGCCATCATAAGACAGAAGAGACCCATAGCTTCTGACAGGGCGAAACCCAAGATGGCATATGAGAAGAGCTGTTGCTTGAGGGAGGGGTTCCTGGCGTAACCGATGATGAGGGAACCAAACACTGTTCCGATACCCGCTCCTGAAATGCAACAAAAACTACATAAGTTCCAATCTCCAATAACTTTCTAATACTATTCTTATATAATTAAATAATTCACAGCTAAACTACACTAAATCACAATTCGCTACAAATTAATCCAAATTAAGCTCACCTATCATAAATATGCAGTAAAAAGAACATGCATTTATACATTGTTAGTTATACATATATATAGCATTTCATTAAATTAAAAAGCAAATAGCATTAAGAATGCTATCATTAAGCAAAATAGACCCATAGCTTCTGAGAGTGCAAATCCAAGGATGGCATAGGAAAATATTTGTTGCTTGAGGGAAGGATTTCGAGCATAGCCAATTATTAAGCATCCAAAGACCACACCAATACCAATACCTGTAGATGTCAAATAATGTTAGTGATGATGGAATATTAGTACCACTGCAATGCAGGGAAGTTATGTAAAAAAAATCAATAAATAAGCTCTCCTGTTATGCAACCAAGTTATATAAGATTTGCTACAAAAAAAAACACCCAAATTAAAAGAGCCAGAGTTAGTGTTTAGAATGAAATACTTTAAAATTGAACACACTATGTATTGACTAGAAAATGTGTTGGAAACTCACCGGAGCCAGCTACTCCCACTGTCGCTGCACCAGCACCAATGAACTTAGCGGCGGAGTCAATGTCCTTGGTGACAGCTGTGGTCTGGAAGGCCCGGATGGCGGGCATCTGAGCAGGCGCCGCCACAGGGACAATCTGTTTCTGTGTGGTCGCTGCAGCCAGAGGCCTCACAAGTGCTGTGTTGCTGAAGATCTATAAACAATTACACAATATAACCTACAAACCTGACATTGACAATGAACTACCACCAATAGGAAAATTATGAATGAAATCTGTATATTCAAGGATATTCGGCAACATATAATCTGTTGGATCAATAAATTTATTGGTACTTAGGAATATCAAAACATATTATGTAATTACATAACTCTCATTTTTGATAATGTCCAAGGGATTTGATTTGATAAGTTTAGTTTAGTTAGAATTAAAATTTCACTGACAAGTTTATTTAAAATAGTGAAATACTAGAAATGATTAAAAACGAAGTTACCGCCCATTGATAATAAAAGTTACATTACTTGTTTGATAAAATAAATATTAATACTTACGGCAGACCTAGCTGCAGGGGCGATCAATCGGGCAGCAGACAGCATTTTTGTTTTTATTAGGTGCAGCGAGCGACTACTGAAAAGACGGAGAATGAATGAGAAATGAGTTGCTCTTGCCGGAAAACCTCAAGTAAGAATCGCTTTGACAGTTTGACCGACGACTGCGACAGTTACGTAACTGAAGGGACTACGTAACTATAACCTATCTTCTACATGTAACTATCTACTTAGCACGTATCGATTTTATACCACTGGGTACTAGACAATATAAGGAAGAAATAGTAAATAGAGGTTATTGACGTAATCGGAAGGATACAGAAAATGGCCGATCGGCAACCTAATATGAAATTATGTTTTTAATGACAGCTTAGAATTTCACCGTAAAATATTAACACAGTCACCCGCGGGATCCTTCAAAATAGCGATTGAAACAATTTCTGTTCAATGATTTCCTGTGATATCAACACTTTTTCACGATTCGATTTCGCTATTTCTCGACACTTACCAAAGAACACCGAAAAGGAGGAGACCGGCCTTTGGAATGTTCAATATCTGAGTGGTCGACTAGACCGAAGCAAAAATCTCGTACGCCTATTGGCTGAAATGCGCATGACGAGAAGGTTCCGCTGAGAGCAGCCAACTATTGATTATTTTCTGTGACTGAAAGCTAGTTTCAATCCTTTTTATTTGTTGTATTTTAAATTGATACAATAGAGGACCAAAACAATATTTCTGTCATATTAAAAATGATTTTCAATTTTTTACCGAAAAAAAGTTAGTATAAGATCTATTACAAATAAAACGAATCGTGACGACGGCTGCATAAGTATAGTTCGATTACTGACTAGTGTGTTATCCTCCGCACGACATGGCCGTCTTCATGATAAACATCTGTAAATTTAATGGCTGCGGTATCACATTTCCAAGATTAGCCGATTTAATTGAACACATCGAAGACGTGCATATAGGTAAATACTGTTTTATTATACAAATATATGTTTTCGTAGCTTATTTTTCTACAAAAAATGGATCTTGACCCTCCCTATTGTATTTTTATCAATATGTCAAAGTTGTCTACATTGGACTTGTATTGAAACGTATTCAAAATAGAGCGCGAATATTTATTTATAGTAATAAATTATACGTACATCTACAAAACTACATTGGTTTAAATTCTAAATACTCTTGACGTTATTGAAATGTATTATTAATCCTCAATTTTAAGGATATAACTGTTGAAAAAATATTACTACGATAGAATACATTTTTACCAGCGATGTTTTTTTTTATTTCAGATTATGATCCCGCAGTAGTTGAACAAAAAGAAGCTTCTCAGCCAGCATGTATTCCTTTAAGTTACGTGTTAAGATTTTTCACGGAAGCGTCAAGGCGGGAATTTCAAAGCTTGCCTCCCGCCGCAGATGTCCGGCGCAGGTTACTGTCTGCGCCAAAGACTCCTTCAGTTCGTAGCAGCACACCTACTGGTAATATTCATTTATTCGAAAACATAACTGCATTAAGCCCTTGACTTGTAATCTTCACGTCCAGGATTCGAATCCCGCCATGTACCAATACGTTTTTTGATTTTGAATTTATATAAGAGGAAGAAATTCAAAAATATGTGTGAAGTCAACTAACCCGCACTGGGCCAGCGTGGTTGACTATGGCATAGCCACCCCTAACTTAGGTTAGGCTCCGAGTCACTCAGTGGTGACTTAGAGAGAGATGATGATTACAGGATAGGATATATTATTTCTCATTATTAAACTTTTTCTCAGGTGGCTCCATTGCTCAACTTGTGTAGTGTAACAATTTGCAATGTCCAGAACATTACAAAAGATAAAGTATTTTAAAAAATACTTAATGTATTTTTTAGGCAGTGAAGTTGATGATGACGAGCTCATGAGTCCATCCGAAGACAGCAACGATTCGTGGACGACTGTCGAGGAATACAGCTCGGAGTATATCCTGCGATATGGAGTCAAGTACGACAGTTTTATTACTAATCGTTGCTTGTAGATTTGTGTTTGAGAATAGGGTAATTCTTCGCGGCTATGAATGTTTGTAAAGATTTCCTTCGGTTCGTATTATTTTGAAACTCCGTTTTTAGTTTATTCCAAATTTCAAGCACGTTTTTTTAATGACTATTTAGTAATTATTATAGATTTTTTATTGCTTCCCAAAAAATCTTTGCAAAGACAACATAATGTCTATGGGCGTTTGGGAATTCTTTTTATTAAACCCACTACTCACTTGAGCCTTTATAAAAAAAACCCTAAAAAGAAGATTATTTCAAACTTTTCAGTATTTTTGTTATGTTATTTGCAGGATGAACAGTAGCGCGGCTAGCGGTGTGCTGGGTCCAGCTGCGCAGGAGAAACCTTTCGCGTGCCCGGTGCCTGGCTGTAAGAAGCGATACAAAAACGTCAATGGCATCAAATATCACTCTAAGAACGGACATAAGAAGGATGGCAAGTAAGTACAGATAACATAAAGGATGTGACAAAATAAGAAAAAAATGTAAATGCCATTTTCTTCATTTCTCCCGTAAATTTTTTGAACTTTTTAAATAACTTTTTTTTACTGCACTTAATACTATTCCGATTGAGAGGAACCTTGTGGTTAGATACATGAGAGTTCGTATTTTTATCCTAATAAGTTTTAGACATTATTATTATAATCCTTTAGCGCGAATGGCGCGCTTTAATTACGAAGTCCAGTGTCAGAATGATTAGTGAGGGGACATAAATGTCGACAATTCAATAAGACTAGTGTTGCGCCAGTAAACCGGCACAGTGTCGGATTTCTTCCTAACAGTTTTTAGATAGATGTTTTTAAATATTTATTTGGTATAGAAAATATCCAGTATTGCCTAATTCGGAGCAGTACAAGCAAAAGATGCCAGGCCCTAAGAAACGTTTGACTGCACAAGAGTATTTCTGGAAGAAATGGGTATACGTTCCCTAACTTAAATGTAGTCATAAAAATTTTACGACATTGCTTTTTGCCTAGAAAAAAGCCGTAATTTTTAAGTTTTAAATAGATTCGTTTATGTTAATTTTAGCAGTTATTAAATAAGAAATATAGTTTTTTGTTTTTAGTATTGTTAAATTCATTATATTTGGATAATTAGTTAAATCGGTATTTAAAATAATTAACTACATGTAAAAGTCATAAGGTAGTAACTTAGTGATAGTAATATTCTGTCTCTTCTGTTTGGTAGGTAATAATTAAATATAATTTTTGTTTTTCAGGGTAAAAAAGGCTTACAAGTGCCAATGCGGCAAAAGTTACAAAACAGCTCAAGGTCTTAAATCTCATACGATAACGCAGCATATTGTAACGAGCCATGCGTCGACATCCTCCATGCCCCCCACCCCGCCTACACCGCCGACACCTCCTGTCCCTGATACGGGACGTCTCAATGCCACCAAAATGCCAGGACTAGTGGTAACAGCTTCTCCAGCACATAGCCGCTCTCTAAACATCATAGACGGAATAGACGCCAGTAAACTTGTTCGTATTTACGACAGTATCAAAACAAAAGATCTGCCTTCATTCACCATACCTAAACATAACTTGACCAATATCAATCTGATCACAAGTCAGGGTCAAGGCATCCGCCATTCCGTGCTGCTAGCACCGACTGCTACTCTTGTCGACAAATCGAAGTACGATCGATCTCCCAAAGTAAC